TGCTCAGAATTTTACAAGAAATCGAAAAATAAATTCATATATAGGGTACCCTCACGTGATTCATTGAAAAAAAAATAAACTTTTTGATTTTTCCTGTATATTGATCAATTTTCCATTTTTTTATACATAGAAAAAATGTATTTTTTACTACAAACATAACCACACTTTTAGATTAAAAAAGTTAAAGGGGGGCGCATACGCAGAAAAAACGCTTTTAGTTACATTACAACATATTTTTCCACATTTTTTTTTCAGTATATTTTTAAGATGACATAGGTTTGTGGAGAAAAAATTACAACCCTTTGAATAATAAAAAGTTAAAAAAATTTTAATTAATAGGTAATAATAATAATGGTAATTTTTTAATTATTAAATAAAATAAAATATAACATTTTTGCAACAAGAATTAAAATTTATTAAAGAAACAGAAACCAAATAAATATAGAAATTAAAATAAATATTTGAAATGAAAAATATTTTTGTTACTATAATGAATTAAAAATATACGATCTTGAAAAATTAAATTAAAATAAATAATTAATAATAAACAAAATAATAAACAAAACTAATACAAAATATTTTACCTGAATTTTTAATAAGGCCGATGACCACAAGCAGGAACAAATTTGGGTTCTTCATATTTACACTGCTTTTCCAAACTTTTAAACTCGAATTAACCGAATATTTTACACATGTCTACGTCTTAACAATTAGTTAAGTTAAACCGTTCAGACTCACACTTTGTTACACAAATTAAATAAGGTGTATGGAAGTGGCGGCTCGTGGGTGTACAGGAGGGTGAGGCTACATAAGGTTAATTTTGTCTAAATACAAATAAATTTCCACGTCACCCGGGAGGTATTATTCTGCGACGCGTTGACCTTTTTTAAAATGGAGGTCATCGCCGATAGCCCTACTAAAAAAATAAAGTCTAAAAACAAAACAAATAAAATATCACATCAAAGACTACTTTTAATCTTAAAACTTAAAAATATATTCTTAAAACAGTTAAAAATAAATAAATTAATCAAAAAATAAAAATAAAACTAAAAAGTCGACCCCTACCTAAGTATTAAAAAATATAAAATACTATTAGCTACTTTTTGTAAATTAAATCTATACGTCTAAGTTTGCAAATTTATCTATTATTTGGTCGTAAAATTGTGGGTCTGCAGTGAGATTTAAAAATAATTCTAAATTTTTAAACCGCGTCTCTAATTAAAAAATTAGGCAATCTATTATTTCAAAATATAAAATTTGCTTAATAAAAACTGTTAAATCTACCTTAGTGTGTTCCCCACAATAATTAAATAAGAAATTTTACTAATCGAGACAAAAACTATAAAAGATCAGTCAAAAGTTTTAAATAATTTAATTTAAATCAAAACAAAACGAAACAAAACGTGCTCTACGAACGCTTAGAATCTTGAATCTTGAATTTTGTGCCCACAAAAGTTAATTAATATAAACATAAAGTATTTCTTATTACGAGTTTGTCGAGTTATGATTTTTTTGTTAAACTTGTTTTAGGCAGAGTGGAAACAAATAATTTACAAAATACCCAAGTAAACACACCCAACTGGAAAATAACAGACACCATAATATATATTGTTTTGTTACCATGCATAAAGCTAATTAGTTTTAAAGTTTGTTAAACTTTCGTACTTAACTTTAAAGAGGCACCTGATGCCTTACATATATTTTTTTTAAGTTAAAATAATAAATTTGTATAATTTATGCCAAAAATACTTTTTGTAGCGTAAAGATAAATATCGTAAATATACCAAATGTCTAGTGATTAAATAAAGTTGTTTATTTTGTATAAATATTTATGTTACAAGATTTCAAGTTTTTTTTAAATAAAACCAAGTTGTTCGGTATTTAATATTTATTGTCTTCGGTTATTGAAAATGCATTTTAAATATGTTAATTACAAGTAATGCACATTGGAAGGCATTTATTAATGTATGTACAGAGTAATATTTTAACAATTAAAAATAAATGCCCCGCTAAATCACCACAATATCATTTTTTCATCGTCGTTGTTATTCATGAAGTGATATTCTGGCAAATTGTTTAAATTAAAATTACTTAATTACATCACCGTTTATTGATACGTTTTTGTTTTTATTGATTTCATCACACATAACAAGTAATACAAAAAATCGAGAAATTTTTACAATACAATGAGAATTAGCACCATTAAAAATAAGTTTACATTATACAAGTTTTGCTATATTTGGACCTTCTGCACCTACTTTCAATATTATATTAACTTTATTGATAATTTTTAGTACGTCCTTTATTTAAATCAATTTGCCTAGAACTATCTAAGAATGGCACGATAGTCTTACGTAAAAAAAGAATTATTCTATGAAAATGTAAAAAAGTAGTACATAATGGCAGTATAAAGGAAACATTTAAGCAAATTAAAGCTATGTTATAAGCAGATTGGCCCCATTTAGGGGAGCCTCTTTAAATATATAAAAATAAATCTTATCAGAAAATATTGACTTGCGTCTTTTGTTAAACTTATTGAACACAAAGACTGAACACTAAGCCGCGAAATATCAGATCGAGAGCTCTATGGACAATATTTTCAAATAAATGGCAGCTTTTTAATTCGCTCAGCGTTCTGATATTTCACCGCTGAATTTTAAATAAGTAAAACCAACATAAATGTTGTAATTTAACTGCCTATAATAACCTAACTAGATGAGATGATGGGTGTCTTCTGGGCTCAGAAGAAGCTGTCACCTTAAACGATATTCCCCTCATACCTAGAACTGGAAAAAATTAATTGGTATGTTTACTCCAATTAATGTTAATTTGTACTAATAACAAGGATCTATAGTCAAAACGTAAACAATTTTTTTGATTTTTAAGTTGAATAATCAAAGTTTTGGATTAATATTGACCTCAAATGGCATTATTATCAAAAGTTATCAGAATATGCAATTTGTTTTATACCCAGTCTAGTCTGTTCTTCAGTCCAATTTAAGACATGCAAGACTATATGAACAAGACAAGACTGACACGACAAAAAAATCAAGTCTAGTCTAGTGTTTTTCTTTACCTGCCACACAATCCTCGTTCGCCATATATAAAAAGGAATCAGTCTGTATTTCGTCAATATAATAAAATATATATTTATATTCAACAATACCTAATATCTTACACAACTATCTCAAAATCATAAAAATTAAAAACCCAAACATAAAATGATATGTTTTGTGACATGGACTACAAGCTAAACGGTTGCATTTTTTAGATGCAAGATGTGAAAACGAAAAACCGCGTTAAAAATATAACGATTAAAAGAGGGAAGGAAATAATAATTGCAGAAGAACTGGATGGTTTTGGATGTATAATGTTAACAGGTGGTGGTTCGACAATTTCGTCGAACGGATCTGAATCCGAAAATATTAGGGAGGACGGTATCCATCTTAACCTTTTTGTTAGCGTGAAAAGAAAAATGTTATTAGTAAAAGGAAACATTTTGTATACCTCTCTGAAAATACTATGATACAAGTAGACATTCATTAGACACTTATATCTCTAGGTTCAGTTTACATTCTTAAGGCAGTCATATATAGCTTAGTAATTTTTCACCCTTTTCCACTCTTTAAAAATGTGATAGATTTGGAAATAAATTTGTATGTAGGTATTTTATATCCCAGAATCTGAAGAAGCTAGAAAGTTCAAATTTTGACGAAATAGGATGTATAAATTGTTTATTATTCTTTTTATATTTTAAGTATATTGTTTTAGTAGTTTACGAGTTACCATTTATTTTACATGTTAAAAAAATTTCAGATTTGGTATTGGATATCTCAGAATCTGAGGAAGCTGTAAAGTTCAAATTTGGACAAAAGAGTATGTATAAATAGTTTGTTATACTTCCAAAATTTAAAGGACATTACTTGAGTACTTCAAGAGTTACCAGATATTTTATGATAATTATCCAGATTTAGTATTGGATAACTCAGAATCTGAAGGAGCTAGAAAGTTCAAATTTGGACAAAATAGTATGTATACATTGTTAATTATGCTTTTTATATTTAAAGGACATTGTTTTAGTAGCTTACGAGTTACCATTTATTTTACATGTTAAAAAAATTTCAGATTTGTTATTGGATATCTCAGAATCTGAGGAAGCTGGAAAGTTCAAATTTGGACAAAAGAGTATTTATAAATAGAATATTATACTTCCTAAATTTAAAGGATATTACTTGAGTATTTAGTTACCAGATATTTTATGATAATTATCCAGATTTAGTATTGGATTGCTCAGAATCTGAAGAAGCTAGAAAGTTAAAATTTGGAAAAAATAGGATGTATACATTGTATATTATGCTTTTTAAATTTATGTCCTTTAGTAGTTTACGAGTTTCCATGATAAAAAATTTCAGATTTGGTATTGGATATCTCAGAATCTGAGAAAGCTGGAAAATTCAAATTTGGACAAAAGAGGATGTATAAATAATTTAATATACTTTCTAAATTTTAAGGATATTATTATTTCAAGATATTTTACATGATGTAAATTATTCAGGTTTAGTATTGGATATCTCAGAATCTGGAGAAGCTAGAAAGTTCAAATTTGGACAAAAAAATGTATAAATTGTTTTTTATACTTCCTAAATTTAAAGGACATTACTTGAGCACTTTAAGAGTTGGAAGATATTCAACATGATGACAATTATCCAGATTTAGTATTGGATATCTCAGAATCTGGAGAAGCTAGAAAGTTCAAATTTGGACAAAAGAGGATGTATAAATTGTTTATTATGCTTTCTAAATTTAAAAGACAATTATTGAGTACTTCAAGAGTTAACAGATATTTAACATGATGATAATTATCCAGATTTGGTATTGAATATCTGAGAATCTGGAGAAGCTAAAAGTTTCAAATTTGGAAATGTCAAAAGAAAAACGTATTTTCAAAGAGGTTCAATAAAAAAACATAGCTTATTTCACGTTTATAAAAAATGTCTTACCTTGAACAAGGCTTGGCGTTGACTCCATTAATAGCCCTAACTCCTAAATCGATGGTTCTAGATTCTTGAAGCTCAAACCCATGGATGCAGCCCACAAAACCGGTTTGCACCCTATTGCTTGTCATTAATGGTATATTGGGTGTTCCTCCTAGGTAAATATTGCCGTGAGCGTTTAAAAATCCTTGTAATCCTTCAGATTCGCCCTCTACCATGTATTGATGATCGATTTCTATCGATCCTCTTTGACCAACACGTTTCAGAATGACGCTGTGTCTTTCATTGTCATCCACCTTGACTTTGGAGTTTCTTATGATAGCTGGTCCTGAACCTAAATCGTAGCTATATTCCAAGTAACCATTTACCAAGGCTAAAGAGATGTAGTCTTTGCCTTGACCGTCTTCATTTGGTTTTTGACCATGCCAAAATATTAAACCATTGCTATGATTTGTAGACAACTCCATCGCTATTATTTGCTCTGTATTGGTATCTTTTTCTTCCAACAATTCCTTGCTGAACTCCAAGTAACCCGCACCATCGAAATGTACGTCGTTTCTCAGCTCAGTTCCTTAAAAAATGATTTGTTTATATAAAATAGTTTTATTATAGTAATAATTCCTACTTTGGTCACAATCTCCTCCGGTATATCCTAAAAGACAGTCACAAGTGTATGAACTAGATGTTTCTCTGCAAGTTCCCCCATTTTTACAAGGATCATTTTGACACGAATTCAAAATATCGCAGTTCTTTCCGCTAAAATATTAATCCACAAATCAACCCATAAGTTAGGCAACCCAGTTAACACTACTTACCTATACCCTTGCTTACAACTGCACTGGTAGTCTACAGGCGATAGGGGGAAGCATTCACCGTGTTGACAGGGATTGCTGGAACACCCTGTGTGCGTGTAAGTGACGTCATGACCTTCGGTGTTGCCGGACGGTGTGTAGATGTTGTTGTCGAAGTCTTCTTCTTCTTCCATGCATTGTTCTACGTTTGATGCATCAGTGGCACCTGAGACCAAAGCGCTAGGATCGTCCATACCCGAAATGGTTATCTAAAAATCAAAAAATGTTGACTTTGAAAGGACCCAAACACTTGAGGAGATCTGCAAAAACCTCATCTACTAAACAATCTGTGGGTTATTACGATCACAATTGTTTAAAAATGTATTAAAAAAGTTATGTAAATAAACTAACATTTAAATTTTGCGGGAAAATGTAATTTACGTATAGTGCCGAACGCGAAATCATTCGAGAAAAACCGGTGCAACCAACAAGAGATGTAAATTTGGTGAATGTAAACATTTTGTATTTGATTTTATCTAATTTAAACGGGCAGAGTTGTACTCGATTTTATCTAATTAAAAGGGCAGGGTTTTACTTGATTTTATCTAATTAAAAGGGCAGGGTTGTACTTGATTTTATCTATTTAAAAGGTCAGGGTGGTACTGGATTTTATCTAGCTAAATGTCAGGGTTGTACTTGATTTTATTTAATTATTTTAATAAATTTCTTAAAGAGGATTTACCATAAACGCTAGGCAATTAAGTAGAAAATCGATATCAAGTACACTTAAATTGGGAGGTTAAAGTGGGAGGTTGTACGCTTACACACTGCAAATAAAAAAGCAAAACCTACCTGAGATATGCACCCATTGAACCCATCTTCCACTCCAACTCCACTGTTCAACTTGACTCTAGCCTTGTCGTATCCGCCAACATAAGCAGGCGTGAACAAATTCAAAACCTTTCTGTTTTTGTCGTTGTGAATAACTGAAGCACCGTTAACCACAAGCCTGGCCATCTGACTGAACCTTGTGGCAGTCAAAACTGCCCATTCGTCGGGTACCAACTCGTTTTCTTGTCTCAAAAGTACCATTCCGCTGCCCGCATCGAATCTGAACTCCAAATGCTTGTCTTTGATGGCCAAGGACAAGAATTCGCCGTGTTTTTCTTCAGTTTCTGCTACGTAGAACAAGATTCCGTCCTCTACGGTTTTCGGCTTGAACTTCATCATGATTTTGATGTGGCGCTGGATTTTCGGTGCTGGGTAAGCGATGTAGGCGTTGTTTTTAAACGATGGTTCAATCACGGTTATTTCTTTCTCGCAACGTGGTCCTGAGTAGCCTATAGGACAATGGCATTCGAAGCTGGCTTCAGTGTCGACGCATTTGCCGCTTCCACAGATCACTAAAACAATATTTTGATTTGGTCTTGATATCTCAAAATCTCATTGCCTAAGTGGTTCACGAGTTTAAAGATATTTTACATTGTGAAAATTATCTAATGGTATTGGATATCTTAGAATCTGGAGAAGGTAGAAAGTTAAAATTTGGATAAAATATGAAATAGAACTAGGTACCCAGACAGCATCCAAATCAGAAAAATTTCTGTACAAAGTCTGTTAAAAAACATCTTACCGAGGTCACAATATGACATCTTGGGAAAATCATTTTTAGGAGCTCAAGATTAAGAGCTCTTAATGAATTTATAAATAAGAAGATTTTTTGCTAACGTCTTATTGGAATCAAAATTAGAAGGTACTGAGGGTATCATAAGTAAGACTTCAGTTATATGATATTTAACAGTATTCTTTTTTCTTACTTCTTACTGAAATCATATCTTTCGTCCTACCGCTGTAACTGCTTTTGTTTAATTCAAGAAGCGGCGAAGTAGAATTTAGAGCGTGTTCCACAACAAACGTTTTAGACCTAGGCAAACGGCTACCCGATACTGAAGAGCTCCAAAAAAGTGAAACAGGCCGTCTATTTAAATTTAAACAAAAGTGAGACGAAGTAATCGCAATTCCAATAATAAGCAAGACTTATCAAAATAACCAACGATCCAGTATGTTATTTTTTCAACAGTACAACAAATATCAAGAAGAGACAATTCTGAAAATGACATGTTTAAGTCTTTTTATGAGTTAAGACGGAAGGAGTCTTTAAGTTCTTAATTGCGAAGTCAAAGAAAGGGTTCCTCAAGAGTTCTTTTTTGAGAAAAAGTCTTATAAACTTATTTCTTATGTTGTATGTGACGTCCAAATTATAAAATATAGCTTATGCAGACTTAATTAAAACGTCATATTTCTGTCTGGGTTGCCTCTTTAATTAAAAGTATATTTCTTAAGTACTTTAAGAGTAACCAAATATTTTACATGATGATTATTATCTAGATTTAATATTGGATATCTTAGAATCTGAAGAGGCTATAAGAATGAAATTTTGATAAAACTGGTTGTAATTATAACGTTTTAATCTATCAATACTAGAACTGTTAAAATAAAACTTACTTGGTGAACAAGCTTGTCCTTTGGGCTTATTGCAAGTAGGTCCGCTATAAGCATTTGAGCATAAGCAAGTGTAGCCTTCCTTGGACAAATTTTCCTGACAAACACCGTTATTCTGGCACTTATTCTCAGCGCAAGTTTCACACGACGTGATCTTGTACTTCTCTATGGCTTCCTTCTGGATATCCCAATGGGCTTGTCCGTTTTTGAAGAGGCTTATACATCCTACGAAACCTGTGTCCATTTTGACGTCTGGATGAATTTGGTTCATGTTTGGTACGCCACCAAGGTAAAGAGGTTCTTTAAGGCTCAAACCTATATGTCTACCAGCTGCATTTCCAATAAATGGACCCTCTCCATCAACGTACATAAGTACTTTACGTCTGTTGCGTACGATTTTAACTGTGTGCCATTGTCTGTTGGTAATTGGTCTATCACCCAATACTGTGACGGTATTTTGGTCCAAACTGTACTTGAATTCTGGCACTGAATTAACCAGTGATAACGATATAAAATCTTTGCTTCTGTCATTACCACCTTCTCCGTTGTAGAGAATCAAGCCATGCCCATTCTCTGGTTTAAACGAAATCTCGAAGCTGAACTGAGCAAACGCGTCAGGTAGCGTTGGTAGTGATATGTAGCTGTTAGGTGCTTGGGCAAAGTATGGTACGATTCCAGTGACGGTCAATTTAATGGGCGTTTCTATCTTTTGATTTCCACTGCTGGCTGCACAAATGTAAGTACCAGCATCGCTACTTCCTACGTCATGAATAATTATGGATCTGTTGTATATATTGACGGATTGAGGCAGTTGGCCACCCTGTTTGGTCCACAAATATGTTATAGGGCTTGGTAATGTGACATTACAGTCCAGTAGTATGGTGGTACCTCTCACGGCTGTTTTGGTTTGGATTTTTGGTTCGTCTTTATGTTCTTCTGCAAAAAAATATTAAAATTTTATAGAAATAATCTGGAAAAGACAGAAAGTTTAAATTTGGACACTCCCGAAAAAAATTGATAATTATCACGTTTTCTTCTTACTTTGCCACTGTAACACCCGAAACGAAAAATCATGTAATTGTTTTATTAATATACCTTACAGATTGATTCGTGTAACAATATTTAGAAAAAGTAATGTTATGGTGGTAGGTAATGATTTAAAATACTAACTAATATCTAAGCATTAGACTAATTTGATATGTGTTTTTCTTGATTAAAAACTGAAACCCGAAACGTTTCGGGTGTTACAACTTTTTTCAAGAGGTGTGACTGCTTTTCCGATGGTGTTGTCGAATCTAACGAGTTTCACGATATTTTCCATGATAATATTTATTCGGATTTCATTTTGGATATCTCAAAATCATATGATGCAAAAAATGAACACAAAAAACTTACCAATAACATTGATGTACTGATCCTTGTGGTACACCCCTTGGTATCCGGTAGCCTCGCATCTGTATCTTCCGCCGTTTTCCCGTCTTAAACCGTAAATTATTAGATTTGAACCTTCAATTTTCGCATTCTCCGATATAAAACTGCCTGGTTTGGACCAAGTTGTAATTACGCCTTTTTCGCTTGCGTGACAAGAAATTTGCACTGTTTCGCCCGCTCTGTAATCTTCTTTGGTTGGGTAAATGTCAAGGGTTGGTTGAGCAGCTTCGATAAGGGCAGGCCCTAAAAAAAATGCTTTGGTTTTTGTTGTTTTTTTTTAAAGGATGTTTGAGATTATTAGGTCTTGAAATATTATGATCAAGCGTAGTAGTACATAGACGATATACAAAAAGCTATAGCTAAAGATTGATTCAAAGTATTCACATTTTTTTTTTTAATAAAACCTAAATGTTCTGTAAAAATTGCTACTATTCATACAATATACACCAGACAACATTGTTGCTTAGTGGTTTATATACACTAAATACCAAACAAAAGACTTCTTTGCCCATACCATACATTTTGTTTAGTATTTTTACATTAAATGTAACAATATTACAATCAAACTTGGACGATTTCGTTGAACAACTTACTTATATACAGGTTCTATATACAGGTCTGTTAAAAATACTCATCAAGCTAATAAAAGTTAGAACGAATATACATGTTAGTTTTTAACTAATATTATTATTTGAAATAATGCTTAACAAATACGAATTATGCAGTATTCTGAAAACACGATAGCTTTTTCTAAGATCCCAGAAATTTTGTATCCCTATTAACATAAAAATATTTTCTTTAAACTTTTTTTCGACAAAAGTACCTACCAAAAACAGACTTTTTTGCATTAAAAAGTGGGATCAAAGCAAAAGTTTTTAAAATATCAATGTTGGTTAGTTATACATGTAAAGCCTTGATATCATTAGGGGGCACTGTAAAAAAGCTACATTCTGCAATAACAACAAATTGGCACCAAAATGCAAAGGACTTTTTTTGAATTGATGTTCAAAATTCTTACTAATTTCAAAACCCTGTGCAAGAAAGGTTTAAACATATTTAAGAATGTTAAAATAGTCATAAGACGTCATTTTGTTGCACGAGAACAATTTATAAAACGATCGACGAAGGAGCGAGTTTTGTAATGGACGAGTGCGACAAAAGGTCTTATGACATGAGTTCTTTATGCTATTTTATCTATTTTGCAAAAATTCTATAAAAAAAATTAATGTTATACCTTATATTTAATGGTCAAATTTTACTTTAAATAGTTGGTATCATAGTCATTGGTTTGAATGGTTAATGTCAAAATCGATTCGCCATGGCGTCCTTAATTTACTTATTTACAATAAGCGGCTGTTAATGTTAAAGAAGAAAAAAAGGATTTTCTTTGGCGTTAAACAAAATTTATTGCCAAAAAAGTCTCGTAAGTAAGTACTAGAAAAATCATAAAAATATTATAACCAATATGCAAAATATTATTTTACTAGCATTACAGCACCGAAAGCGGTGTTACAATGAAGTCATTATGAACGCAAAATAGATAAAAATATTTCAGAATGTCAAAAACATTAAGATTTTCATTAAAGTACCTATCAAAATCTTTTTACAAATTTTAGCATGCACAAAGTAAGAAAATGTCCAAAAATATTAAACTTTTGCATTTTGGTACCAAGCCAGTACAAAGAGTAGGATAAAGATGTTCCTTTTAATACCATAGGACGGGCAAAACATGAGAGCTACAAAAATGTTTACGAAGAGTAAAAAAAGTATCAATAAAACAAACCACGTCGTATCCTGGCCGGGCAAAACTTTTCGTCGCTTCCGTCGCGACAATCCGGTACTGAATCGCACAACTTGTACTTGGGTATGCACTCCAAACTCCGGCACACGAATTCTTCATGACTACACGTTACTCCGGAATCTAACATAATCACGTCACAACATTTAATTGAAATCTATACTTGCCTTTACTATCTTTAGATTAGATTTAGACATAATATACTAAACATGTATTGTAACAATGCTGGCAAACAAAAATCTTAAATCCTGAAGACAATTTTAGCTTGAAATAAATTTAAAAAAAAATTAGAAATAAAAAATATGAAAGTCAAAACATACTTTAAGAATTAAAACTTCCGTATTAATGTCAAGAATATTCAGAATTCCGAACATATTTTTAATTCCAATTGTTTCCAAAATTTGAGACTTTCGTTTGTTGGCAGTATATCTGAAACGCCCTGTATACTCACTGTCTATGATCAAGTCGGTGAAATCGTTGGATTGTTCGCCTTCGATTTCGCAGTAATATCTGCCGCCATCTTCCGGCTGAACGTTGTACAGGGTCAAGGAACCTCTGTCTACTCTGGAATTAATCGGCAAAACTCTGGATTCTCTGTACCATTTGATTCTTGCGTTGGGGTCTTGAGGTTGGCAACGCAGCTCCGTGTTTGTGCCTACATAGGCTCTCAATTGTTTTTTGTTTGCTACTATACCCGGACCTTGAACATTTTCTGTAAGAGCAAAACGATATCCTTGTTTATGATTTTTTTCATGCAACAACAGATCAACAGATGCATATACCGCATTACATTTGAAACATACACCCCAGATGCCCTGATTGCGGATTTCTTTAGGCGACGATTCAGTTATAATTTGCATTTGCTAGTGTTTATTTCAAGCGTTTTATCATAAATTAATTTTTTTTATTTAAAATTATAAGTTATAATGTCCTACACATTGCAAGAGAAAATTGACATGATAAGCTGGTCTTTAGTGGGCACGTCAAACAAGAGATAATAATGGAAGGATAGTTGATCATTTAATCTGATTTAGTGGAACACTTAAAAAAATAGCTACATAAGCAACAATCGACGTAAAAAGTGAAAGGTGAATTTTTTTGTTTTATTTAAAAAACCTAAAAATAGCTGAGTATGAAAAACAAAAAACAATTATCAAAAAAGTACTTAATGATAACACAAATGTAAATTTTTAATGAATGTAAATTATTGCTCACTGTGCAAGCATATTTTGCATCGGTTGTTTTCTATTTTACTTATAAAAATTATAATGATTTTTTATTAAAAAAAATGGCACTAATGCAAAACCTCTCTTATTTTGGCGTATACTATCATCCCCTTAAAGGATGATCACTTATTTGGTATTATGCTTTTTAAGTTTAAACAACATTGCTTAAGTAGTTCACGAAATACCAAATATTTTACATTAGGATAATTACTAATATTGAAAAATTTGAATTAATATTTAAGACAAACATAATAGAAGAATATGTTAATTTTATAATAATTAATTAATATAAATGTTAATAAAAAATATAACTTACCTTCTACAATGACATCAGCTGTGGCATCAGCTTCACCAGCGCTGTTTCTAGCCCTGCAAACGTATCTGCCCTGATCTTGGAACTGAATTCTGCTAAATTGCATGAAACCGTCTTTTGTGGTGACAGAAGAAGGCATGCTGCGATTCATGGGTGTCCACCAGATTTGCATTGGTTGATCACCAACTGCTGTACATTGAATCGAAGCGTCCTGGCCGGGACTCACAACCTGCCTTACTGGGTCAAGAGTTATCCTCGGTGGAGCTAAAGTGATTTTGGTTAGGATTTTTGGGTAATTAAATGATGTTAAACGACTTACAAATAACGTCCAAATACCAAGAGAACATGAACAATTCTCTTTTAGTTTGAGAGTCTAATCCAATACATTTGTATTCGCCAGCTGATGAAGGTTGAGCATTATCGAAATATAACGTGTCTTGTTTGATGTAAGCTTCTCTGGGTACAGAAGAATTATCACCGCGTAACCAAATAATATCTGTTTGTTCTAAAAAAAATGATAAAAATATTTATTGCAATTATTGTTGAATGTTACCAATTCGGTTGTCAACTCTGCATTTTAGTTGGGCTGGACGTCCTACTGCGGAAACAACTCTTTGGTGATAAGGACGCTGAGGCGGGTATAAATCTTTGTATCCTGGATTTGATGATGACTGATCTTCACCTTCAATATTGCAAATAATTTTAGTATAATGTGCAATATTTAAAGAAGCTTGAGAATAATGTTAAATCTCTTTGTACCTACCTGGTCTTTTACCTATTCCAAAGTTAGTAGAAGCGATTGAAACAAACAATGTAGATTAATAAATTATAGTAACAATAAGCCATGTTAAAGTTCCCAAAACAAAACATATTAATTATAAGAATATTGTTATTATAAACATGTTTACCTGTTATGTCACCACGGGTGGGTAAATCGTGAACCACCAATCGCACGAATTTCCTATTTTGTCCAATAGGACTTGTAGCTGTGCAACTGTAAACACCCTCATCTTGTTTGGTTAGTTTATAAAACTCTTTAATCGCCTCAGGAGTGTGAACATTTGGAGTACTTCCTTCGAAGTAGCCCCTACAAAATGTTTTTTTATAAAAATTGTTCATTATTAACGCTAAAAAAAGTTAGTGGGGGAGCTTGTATTTTCTTTAAGCCAAGAAATATAAGGAGGTAATTTTTGTTAGTCATTAAAAGATCCGCATAAATGTGCCGTTAAAAACTCAAAAGTCAGTGGTGTTCATATTTAAATTGAAAATTAATTTAGAGCAACCCTTAGATATACGCACACCAATGGTAAAGCTGACGGACCAGTTTCATTGCTGAAATATATTTCTCTTTAAAATAAAATGTTTAATAATGTATATTTTGACAGCTTTATTGCCCCAAAAACTGACAAATATACAGTCTGAAAAAAACCTCAAAACAAAGCAAAACCCCAACCTTACGATTATTTTTATAAATCGTTATTGTACTTACCCATTTTGATTAGCCCAAACCACATTTGGTCCAGGAATGCCGAAACCTGTGCATACCAATCTCAACGATTCTCCAACTTTTTTCTCGATGATATCTCCTGCAGGATAAATATTTACACCTGGTGCTATGTGTATGATGATATTTGCAGTTGCGGTAGTTTCCCCTCCTAAAAATCGATTATTTAATTTATCACGAAAATAATTTTTAATGCACAAAATATACCTTGGTTTCTGGCTCTACAAATGTATCCACCTTCGTCTTGTCTGGTTGCATGGGTTATTCTTAGAATTCCATTCGATTGGATTTCTACGTTTGGACCCAAAGGTAATCCGTTTGTTCTTGTCCAGGTTATTTCAGTTCTTGGATCTCCATTCAATACTCTGCATTGAATGTTGTCGGCACTTCCTTCGAGGATGGTTTTTGTTGTTTCCGGCCAGATGGAGATTCTTGGCATTTCCACTCCTAAATTACCAAAATCATTAAACAAATTCGAAAAATATAAAAAATTACTTACTGGCAACATTGACGTAAGCGTGATCTTGTGTAAGTCCAATACCATTTTCAGCAACACAGATATAAGTACCTGTATCCTCCTCCCTGGCGTCTGTTATAACCAACATATTGCCAACTTGTTGGGTATTTGGTCCGAAAACTGCACCCAATTTCGTCCATTTAATAGTTGGTGCAGGCACTCCCCTGGCTACACACTCAATCTCAACAGTGCGTCCCTGGTTAACACTTACAGAACTGTTCGAGATTTTCACTTGTGGAGATTCGCCTTTTTCGAAGTTCGGCGTGATTTCGACCTGCGCTGATTCAAAACCGGTGCTACCAGAGTAAGTTGTGACTCTGCAAACATACACGCCCGAGTCAGCAATTTGGGCATCAGATATAGTCAACTGCCCCTTGTTATCCTCCCTGGAGTTGTAAGGAAGTCTTCCATCTTCTTTAGACCATCTAACATCCGCCGAACCCTGAGCTCTGCACATCAAGAATATGGTGTCGCCTTGTTTACGAGATAAAAATCTTGGCTCAATCATCACACTAACAGAGCTAGTTTCTTGGACTTGAATGGTAAAGTCGGCGTAGCTAGAACCGGCTCTATTTACTCCAATGCATCTGTATTGGCCTTCGTCAGATTTGTGTGCCTCTAAAATTCTAAACTCCCCGTTTACAAACGTGAATTCCCTTGTGATCGGGCTGCCATCAGCCCTTTCCAATCTCAAATCGGGAGCTGGGTAACCGTTGGAATAGCAGTTTATTTGAACGGGTTGTCCGCTTAAGGCTCTTACGTAGCCTTTGTTTACAGCAGTGCGAGGTGTGCTGTCGCGAGATTCTAAAAAGAAATATGTATTATATACCTGCTATTTTTAATAGGGTGGTAAACACCCTGTATGATTTACATAATCAAATAAAAAATTAAAAAACATTTCGATTTATGTAATTGTTAAATATCTCTGAAATTATTAACTTTAGGTATAGGGAACTCAAAAACGATTTAAATATTTGATTGTTTCGACCTTTACTTGATGAAACTCCATATTATTATTATGTAGATATAAAAACAAATATGTTTTGAAAGTTTCACGTGTTTTATTTACTTTTGACAATTGTTTCGTCACATTCTGAAGAAGTCACTGTGTGACGAAACAATTGTCAAAAGTAAATAAAACACGTGAAACTTTCAAAACATATTTGTTTTTATATCTACATAATGAAAACGATTTACTTTAGGTATAGGAAATGGTATAGTAATTTTACTCATAATTTAAAAATGTAAAAGTATATGGAGTGTTTTATTTGAATAACAAAGTTTCGGTCAAATACGGAAGTGGCATTTTGTTCAAAATATTTAAAAAAAATAGACTAAATGGATTATAAACGCTTTTAAATTTCAATTCGATATTTTTTCCGTTCCCCAGAAAATTTCAATGTACCAAGAATGTGAAACCCTGTATATCAAGTGGTGCTTTTTAGGTTGTGATACCACTATAGATTCGAAAGAAATTCATAATCGTCAAACTAAAAGATTCAGATTTGTTTTCAACATATATTTATATAAGATAAATACAAATCTGTTGTTTTATTAAAAAAAAAAATTTGTATTTTCTTTAGTATAATTTTTGTATTATGTAAAAACATAAAATATTTGAAGAAAAAAAATGATTTATAACAAAATAGAGAATTAAAAATCGGTTTAGGTTAAAATAATAAGATTGTAAAAACTATAAATGACGTGAATTTGTAAAACGGTGAGACACCTTTATTTTTAAAATCTGTTAAAAAATTTCATGGGAGGAAAATTGTGTTGAACTGTGTTATACATTCACAATTGCAGGGTCACATATAAAATTGTAAGTAAATTGAGGCCTCACACAATCATCAATGTAAAAGCACGCGTGCGGCTTAACCCCGCGCGTGCGAGAAAAAATGCAGGTAAAATTAACTTCCAAAATGTTATATGAGTTAAAACTGTCTAATATGACCTAAATTTAAAACTGTTTTAAAATCATGTTTATAAAATAAAAAAGTACATGTACTTAGAACTATTGTGTTTTAATATACCTGGTCTATCCAAAGAGTTAAGCAAGAAAACTAACAAATTACATTAGTACAAATATATTCACTAAAGAAATAGATAACTTACCTCCAACAACAAGTTTTACATGATTGGTAACAATGTTGTAACCATCATAGGCTTCGCAAATGTAGTTTCCAGAATCGGTTTCTCTAAGGTCTGTGATTGTTAAAATACCTTCACCATCGTCAATGGCTCTGTCCGGTAGAGATGGTGTGTCTTCTTTGTTCCATAGTACTTTGACGGTCTAAAAAATATTTTTTTAAATATTTTTATTGTAATTACAACAAAGTTTATTACCCTAGGATATTGCACTGATTTTGCCGAGCAATTGTATCTCACTGTGCCTCCCACAGCGAAAATAGCAATTCCTGGGGTAGAAATGCTGACTAAGATTGTAGGGGGAGCCGGGGTAGTTTTTGTATCAGGAGCTGGGTCATTTGCTGGTCCTAAAATTGTTATTTTTGTAAGAGATTTCAAAGTAAACATTTTGTATTAATGAATAGTTTTAGTATGTAAATCTTCACGATTTCCTACAACAAAACATAAAGCAATGTCTATTAGTATTAGTATAAGTTAATCAACAATGTGATAATATCGTTGAACATTTCATGATTCTACGTCGATCTAACTAACTAATAACAAGAATTTTGCAGACAGTTTAACATGTACTACTCGATGATACTTCGTTGTTTCAAACCTGGGTATAACTGCGAAGTCACATGTTGGAAAAAGGTGCCGTTTTTATATAGCAAAGAACATGTTACATTGACCAGGCACTGTTTCACCTCTAGCTCGTATAGAAGTTGCGTTTTAAGATTATCCCTCAATATAGTAGGGTTCAAGTTTAAACGCGGGGGCGATACAATGAATTCGTAATTAAAATCGCCGTAGTAAGTACACGTGAAATTTACTTTCGATCCATAAGGTCGCACTATAAAAGTCGGCTCCAAAACTAAAGTTCCTGCGTATTAAAAATAAAAAAGAGGTGAATCATGCAAAAACCATGCAAAAATATAGGTACACTCTATATATATTATTACCTGGTGAGCACTTTTGTCCGCCGTAACCAGGTTTGCAATGACATTGAACTACACCATCTGGTCCCACAGAGCAGCCTTGTTCGTTTCCGTTGCATGGACACCTTTTACAGGATCCCAAAGGTTGACTGTAATCATTCACGTCGCGGTAGTAACCGGAAGCGCAAGATTCACAGGAAGTTCCTCTGTAACCTTCAGGGCAGCCACACGTTTCCACGTAGGTCGCTCTGCCTTTGGTTGTTGGCTGTTCGACAGCTGTGTCCAAGACCAAGTCACTAAAAGAATTTAGGACAAGAGTTAAGGGTTTAAGTTGTATATGAGGTTTTAAAGGAAATATAAAGGGTGAAATGATGAAATGATGATGAACAATCAGAAATAAAGCTAACAAACTTTTGAGAAATACGCGTGACTTTAACAGTGTTAGCTGTGTCAATATCCTATACTCCTCATTGGTACGATCTCAGATAGGGGTAACTCATTTTTTAACATCTACATCGATAAAATTAAACGTGTTCAAAATATTTTATTTTTAATGTTTATAGCGTTTAAAATGGAAATTTGCGTTAAGGTAGCAGGATATAAAAAATTGGTTTGCGAGAGGCTACAATTAAAAAATTTATGTTACAGAAGAAAATGTATTGATGTTATTTTCATTTTTAAACTAATAAACTTAAATACCTACTCGAAAATATTTGTGTAATAGATACTTGTACAAAATTTGCTATACAGGGAGATATGGAAACACTTTAGTAAATCAAAAAACCATTTGGAACAAATTTAGTTTCATAAAAACTGATAAAATAGCAATTTCAATGCTATTTGACAACGTTGATTAGATGGCGTAATGCATGATATAAATAACCATAAAATAATTGGCACGCCACGTTTTTAACAAAAATTAATATTAAGGTTTTATATACAATTCCGCGCGCGCTGCAAAGCCCACTTGAGCTACTTATAAAACCTTAATAATAAGTTTTGTTTATTATAAAAGCTTTTATATAAGTATATCCCGTATGGTCTAGAGGATAGGATACTGAATTTATGATAAAATAAATTGGATTTGCATTTCGTTCTTAAAAATACCTATTTTTTTGGAAAAAATGTTTTTTATTATTAAATTGACTAATGACTAATAATAGGTAGGTACTACTTTTTAATTTTTTTCTCTTTCAAACTTTTATTAACTTAATACAGGGTATCACAGAAGTCGCGCACCATCTTGGTGGGGAATCCCAGAAAATTGTTAAAAAGAATTGACCTTAAATATTTAAAAAGGTATTGAGTTTTTAAACTTAAAAATATTAGGTTTACATTAATTATATAGATTAGGTCTGATGTACAGAATGTTCAAACAATGGTTTTATTAGGAATTAATGTTTCATCTTATGAAATGATTTTTAGGATTATCACAACAATTAATTGCTTAATTGATTGTTATCCATTACACCATAAAAAATAATTTATAGTTAAAATTCAAAATTAGAATTTTTGTTAAATATTGATATGTATTGCTTCAATGCTTAAAAAATGCATGCCAATTTCAACGTTTTTTTGTTATTCATGCCAGTGAATCGATGCAATGTTGTCGGATTTACATTTAATTTCATTATCGGTAATATTTAATAAAATCAAAAATTCTTATTTCTGAAATTTAACAAAGTGTTTTAATAACACACTGTATATTGGCCGCGAAAAAAAATAAATTTGCTTCAAATTGAGAGTATATAGTAGAACCCAAAAAAAAATTAAAATTTCAGGACTCTTTATGCATTTCTTGCGGATTTTACGGTATAAACAAAGGAAAGTAGTGAGTTTTTTGTTTTGAAATATTTTCGAAATTAAGAAGTTAATAAATAGTCTATTAATTATTATTATTATTAAAACTAACATTAAAAAAGTAAGAATTTTTTATAAAAATAAAATAATACTGCAGATTTTTATATTTTTAACCGGTCTTAATCTAATATCCTAAACTTTTAATTTAACTTGTCCTTTTTGTTTGCAGTTTTGATGTTTAAAAGTTTAAAACAGTTTTAGGATAAATTTTTTGATTAAATGACTTTTAAAAAAGAAGACACAAACCTTATAAATGTGGATTCGGTCTCGCTGGACTGCGAAGCTCTAATTAAGATAGAATCAATATCTGACAGAGCTGTCAAAAGATCTTCACGAGACGCCATGGTGGTTCCAGTTTGGTCAATGCGTCTCCAGCCTCCTTCTGGTAATAAGACGACCGAGACAAGCTAAAATAAACATGGTTATTAAAAGTAAAAATGCCGGGTATATCAAGCTTAAATACATTTCTGCTATTTTCGTATTGTTCATTGGGATTGGTCCAGATCAAAGATATTTTGCGGCCGTTGATGATGACGTCTCTGTCTTGGACGTGTCTTCCTCCAGGGTATTGAGTGTATCTTTGAGTGAATTCCAATCTACCTCCATAAGAAGTTATGTGGTTTCCTGTAAAGGGTGATGGTAGCGACCAAAACCACGTGGTTCTTTCACCTGGTCCAAACGTGTAGGAAATTTCATTCACAGCCGGGTAAATTTGGAAGTTCTCGTTAATTCTATCAAGACGATCCCTAAATATTAAATTTTAGAATGTTACTTGCGATATGTTGGTTATATTTACATGTCTGTTAGGATAAATCCGTGCTGGCTCTCATCGAAAATTTGACTCGGTATTTGCTCAACGTACAAGTTACTTTCAACGCAGTAAGTGTTGATACCGAAGCAGAAGCAAACATCACACCCTTGTGATTTGTTAGCGCTTAGACCAAAAGTATTTGGCTTACATGTATCGCAGTTTGGCCCTTCGACATTATTCTGGAAAGATTATGATGAGATGTTGTCAGGATAACTCTTTTAAACTTACCTTGCATCTGCAGGTGCCATAAGAGCAATCAGTAGACAAAGATCCTCTGGGATCACATCTGCATCCAATCTGTGATCCTCCAGAAGGTCTACAATCGCCAACTAAAGCATCGCCATCATAACCAGGTAAACAATCCTCGCAAGAGTCTCCAGTGGTGTTATTTCTGCAATTCTTGCACTCCCCGGAATCTGGATCACATTCGTTCGAGTTTCCGTTGCATTCGCATGGTTTACATTGCCCTAAACCTATTCCACTTATGATCCTGCTGTAACCGACGTCGCAATCTTCGCAGGATAATCCTTTGTAACCCGCAGGGCATTGGCATTGTTCTACTGCATATGCTCTTTCAAGACCCGTATTTCTATCCACTGCGATATCTAGAGATACTTCTATCAACGAAGCTTCTCTGGTGTTTGTGTAGTAAGTAGCCTTGATGTAAATTCCGGATAAATCCGCCAAAGTCGCCAATAAATGATCTCTGTTAATATTTTGTCCATCGTGTCTCTGCCAGTACTGCTCAAACATCGGTACTTCAAACGATTGCGGTTGGTTGGACGGATCAGGTTGTTCCTTAGAGAAATACATCGACTTTATGTTATTATCAGCGCTGACCAATAAAACATCAGGAGCTGAATTTCTGGACGATTGGCCACCAGGAACCGGACTATGTTTCAATTTGTACCGCAATTTGCCTCCGTAAGCCGTTATTTTGTTTCCTAGATACCTCGAAGGTAGCGACCAATAGTACGTCTTCGAACTTTGGAACGCACCGTATGTAATGGCTCTGTTTGTAGCGTTGAAATCTACAGGCAAAGGTGAGCCAAGGTCTTCTTTTTCGACGAGATTGAACTCTTGGTTGGATCTTGTGAATTGGGAGTAGATCTTTTCTCTGAACCATGTGGAACTTGTACATTGATCTGTAATGCCCATACAGTGGCAAGGTATGCATCCAAAGTCGTTATCGCTGCTGAGATGGAAGGAGTTTGGCTTACATTCAGAACAAGTTGGTCCGGTGGTGAACAGCTTAAGGAAATTAAAATATGTATCACTTATTTGAACAAGATTTGGTATATTTTTTGGTATATGTAAATGCGCCAAAATACTTACGTTATTGTGTTAGTAAAGTTCAAGCGTGAAAAAGATTACAAAAACGTTGTAATAAAAATGATCAGCTAAGACCTAATAAAATACTATACCTTGCATTCACAACGTCCATCGGCAGTTTGTATAGCCCCAGCACTGCACGTTCTAGGGGTCTCAGGACTACAGGTACCACCACTCAAGGGATTACCCTGGTACCCAGGTGCACAAACTTCACATCTTCTGCCTTGATAACCAGGTTGGCAATGACATACAACATCGCCGTCAGAATGCAGCGAACAAGTCCTTGCAAACTGTTGTCCCGGGTTGGTGAATGGACATGGGCACGGTTCGCATGGTATATTTCTTGATGGGTCTCCGTATTCGCCTGGTTGGCATTCTTGACGACTCACTTCTATGCATTGGCCTAACCATGGGCCATTTTTGGATCTTACAAAACCATCAGTACATTTCTGCAGCAAAGAGTAGGTAATAATTATAGTTTTAAATTGATGACGTGCTAAAATAATGGGAAGCTTAGATGAGGAAAGGCTAAAATATCGACCCTTAAAAAAGGAGTTCTAAGAAAAAGTAATTGGGCTAAAATAATGAATAAGTAAATTGATGATAAATCTAAATGATGACAAGCTAAAAGGAGGACAAGCTTAAATGAGGACAAGCTTAAATATAGACCATCTAAAATGGTGATAAGATGAAATAATGATAAGCTAAAATATTGAGAAATATTGACAAGGAAAAATGATGAGGCTAAAATAATAAACAGCCCAATGAATGATAAGCTGAAAAGATGACGACCTTAAATAAAGAGATTAAAAAATTATAATGAATAGACAAAAAGATGACAAATTAAAATGACTACCATATGGATAGAAGACAAACTAAAAAGATAACTTACCTCGCAAGAATGTCCAGTATAACCAGCTGGGCAGCTGCATTCCTCAACATAGCTGGCTGCACCAAGTCCTAAGTTTGGAGAAGCAGCTGAGTCCATCTCTATATTCCTGATGGTAGTGTTCAATTGGCCTTCTTCGTTGTATTTTACTTTCAATAGAATGTTCTCTACGTTGGCAAGAGTCATCATGATTTCCTCTCTTGTAGCGGGTATTTGACGTCCATTTTCAACTTTCATCCATTCGCCAGCAAAGAATCTGACTTCCATACGTGTGGTGACGAATTCTCTTGGTCTTTCTTGTCTGGATTCGTGTAGGAGGGTGTAACCGTTACCAGAAAGAATAACATCAGGGCCTCTAGTAGGATAACCTCTGTTTGAATGCTCGATGTTATATCTGAGATATCCGCCGTAGCTGTTAAGTTGTGGTCCGTGATAGTTTTCAGGCATTGTAAAGTAAGGATATAAATTGTCCTGATCGGATTGAATATGGGGTGGTAACGATACTTGTACTCCATTGCGACCCACTGCATTTAACGAAGGTTTTACGCCTCTGTAAATCGGTTCATCTCTAACTTGAACATCTCCATTATTGGGATTCACACTTACACCCAATAGGTTTAAGGTGGCGAAAGGTGCTGGTAACTGGAATATGTATAGATCTGCAGATGTACATGAAACAGCATGACCAAAACAGAAACACTTAATACACTCAGAAGCATCCCTGGCTGCTGCGTTAAAGTAACCAGGTCTACATACATTCTCCCCTTGCACAATCAAAATAGTATCGGGTGTGGCAAACTTGGAACCCTTAATGTTAATTGACTCGCAAGAATATGCTCCTTGATCTTCTTCTTGAATATCTGGACACGTCAAAACGCTAGTACCTTTATCGTTGGTGAATGAACATTTTTCAGGAATGTGTTTCCAATTCAAACGCCACACTATTTGTGGTACCGGAACACCGACTGCTGTACAATTTACTGTGAAAGTTTCCCCTGGTTGCAATGTAACCATTGGTTGAGGAAGTCTTGAGATAACCGGAGAGGCTATGAAAAAACGTTAAGATGTAAACAAAATATAAAAAATTGCTTACCTATAAACAACAAGAGATATATTGGTACTTAACTAGGTCAATTTTTTATCTTAATCGACCTAGAACCCTTTTAATATATGCTTAAAACACTTACCACATCCCCATTCGTCACTTCCATCGGTACAGTCGTTCTCCATATCGCAATGGTATCCCTTGGGTATGCATTGGGCCTTGTTGGCGCATTCGAACTGGTGATTCTGGCACATGCTGTTTGGAGGCGCCACGGGGCAACTTTGTTCGTCGCTTCCATCACCACAATCATCGTCTCCGTCGCACACCCATGTCACCAAGACGCATTTTTTGTTGCCGCAGGTGAACTCGTTGGGCTCGCATAAACCGTCAGGATCTAAAAAAAAATAGATTAAAAATAACTTACACGATGATAAGCTAAAATAAACCCTGGATTAAATTATGACAAGCCTAATAAAATGATTATGTTATATAACTTACCGCATCTACTTTCATCTGAGCCATCAGTACAATCCCTTACATTATTGCAAACTTGAGATTTATTAATACACTCCCCGTTAGCACAACGAGTTTGGAAGGGACTGGCACATTCTGGACGTGGTGGTAGTTGTGGTCGTGCCCCTAAAAAAAAAAACAAAAATAAGAAAAAAAATTTTTATTAACATTTAGGTAATATTATTATTATTGACTTACCATTATTATTTATTAGGCAGCAAATTTAGAAAAAATATTTTCATGAAAATTATGTTAAAGTTAAAATTATTGAGTATAGTACCTGCTCCATATAAACTCGTATAAAAGCTATTGTACTTAAAAGGTCTAAATCCGACTGGACAGAGCAATCAAACAACAAAAATTAATTAACAACCTTACACCAAAAAGATCATTTAACAATGTTATACTTACATTTGTTCACTTTCAAATGTACAGGGATGGTCTGCACTCCTTGCGATGGAGAATAAGAACCAACAACTTGACAGATGTAAGTTCCGCCGTGTTCGACTTTAATTTCTGGCATTTCCAATCTTCCGTTAATATCTCTGGATCCGGAAGGAAGCGGTCTATTGTTCTCTCTCACCCATTTTACTCTTGCTCTGAGCGGGCCTTCGTCACGACATTGGAACACCACTTCTTGATCTAAGGAGAACATCGTTTGTTATAAAATGCGGGTGATTTTGTCCGGTTTTTGAAGTATTTTCACTCAAAAGTAACGAAATAGTTTTTCACCACAAAACTCGTTATGCCATCTAAAAATACTACTCTTGCTATTTGAAGTACTTTTTCTCTTCGAGAAATCCAATTTGAACCCAAACCAAACTAATTAATTTCAACTAAAGATTTCTCGAAGAGAATAAAGAATATTGAAAAAATTCAAAAAGGATTTTAAAGGGAAAAAGTAGTACTAGGCGTAACAAGAAGAAAAAATATTTTTTAATGTAAAACATCCACAAAATTTTTAAAAAACATTCAAATTTTGTATTCGAATTTCTGAAAACCTGATGTGATGGAGCAGTTCTCATGATTTATCACGTCAAACAAAATATAGTCTGGTTTTAATTTAAAAAATTTGTACACCTGTGTTAAAAATTAGAAAATTTAGAAAAGCCAAACAGAGTAGATACCAATACAAAAATAATTCACCCATTCACCCAAAAGTTTATAATTTTTGTTATTTATAGTACTTATTTTACTTTTAAATATTTTGGCGATATTTATTTATAAAATTAATTACATGTACAATTCTGAAAATTGAAAAAAATAGTACATTATGTATCAAGTTTGATAAACGCCATTTCACGAATTTAAATTAGGCACGAACGAGCTTGAAAACAAGTGTTTAATTAAATAAGTGTCTAGAAATATTTATAAACGAGTTGCTTACATTACTTTTTCTACGACAAATACTTATTATTTCCTAAAAATGATTTAAATTTTTAAAAAATGGAGTGACACTCGTTTAAATGCCTTTTTTAACAGTAAAAGAACTCCACACTTGAGTATCCACCCGTTAAATATAGAATATAAGAAATTAAAAGGTCAGTACCAACTTTTTAAATATTGCCGTTGAGAAACTATTTAATACTTTTGCATTTTTGTATTAGATAATACAATAATTTTCACATTAAGTACTATTTCACAGAAAGAGCACTTTATTTTAACGATTTTATGACATTTGACAACTGTCAACTGTTTAAAAGAAGTAGTAATTCAAATTAAAATTTAGTAGTATTTAAAAGATCATTTGGTGTCTGGAAACTTGTACGATAATGGGCTTTTTAAAGGTGAGGGTAGAAAAAAATATATAAGTGTTTTTTATAACTTTTTTGTAAACAGATACAATTTTCAACCAATAATATATCTTAAAATAAAAAATTTCTTGATGGAGTATTTTATACATAGTAAATTAAATATAAATGAAACACAAAAATACAAGGACCGTTTTGTGATCCCATTTGTGCTAAAAAATACAACAACCAGCCAAATAAACAAGTTCGGGACTGCAATAAAAATTGAATTTTTTAAGTACTTACTAACGAGATCACAAAACTGTTCTTGGATTTTTGTGTTCTATATATATATATATATACTACTGAAATGTATTTTCTCAATAGTCTATTGTGCCCATGTAATGTTTAGATAGACTTATCATACAAAACAATTTTCAGTACTATAGGTATATTATTAATACATTTTCTAAATTAATATCTCCGAAATATTTAATTGTAAAAATAAGCAATAAAAAATTAAATTTCTTCCAAACTTTTGAGTGGATTATTGTTACATTGGTATCTACTTAATATCCATAAAAAAATCGCGGGCCCACTTAAGGAAATTTTACATTTATAAAATTTTTATAAAAATCATGCCAAAAGTACACCCTAAAAAAGTACACCATATCCTTCTAAAAAGAATTGTACTGAATAAAAGAAATGTTAGTTTTTAATTGATTGGTAACATATTATTTTAGAATTTTATTGAATTTTATTATTATTGAAGATTTATTTTTTATTGTTATTAATATTTTTGACATTTTTATGTAAAACAACGTTTTGATTTGTTGGTTTTGTTGATAAATGTCAAAAATACTTTTTTTTAACTTCGTTTGTAGGTAAGATAATCAGATTCTATAATAGATATTTAATTAGTTTGTTTTAATTTAGATTTAAAACATTATTATTAATTAGCTATAGCCTGATGTAAATATTATAACCATTATAAAAAAATTACATGATTGTTAAAAACTACGAATAGAATATGACACCAATGATATGATTTTGCTCATTTCCGCAATTTTTCTAGATCACTCACCTTTCTTATAAATGGCTGCTCGAAAAAAATACAGATAATATTAGTTTAATACTAATTTTTTTATTTACCAACATGAATTTATAAAAGAGTTACAAAAATTACTTACTTTCATTTATTTCTTGTTGACTTGGATATACTTTGATGTTAAGTTTTCCTTCCTCTTCACCTAAAATAAACATGTATTTTATATATCCGAAAGAATTATAAAAAAATCTACTAATTACAACTTTTTTATTAGCTCAGTCACTAAAGGTACTTAATGGGTATATAAATACAAGTAAAAATAAAACATGACCTAAACTGACTGAGCTACTTACCGCATCTTTGCTCATCTGAAAAATCTGAGCAGTCCGCTCTTCCATCACATTTCAAATCGCTCTCTATGCACTGGCCATTTTGACAGGTAAACTGATTTCTATTACATTCTCTTCGGGGGGGATTTGTAGCTATTTATAAAAAAATAAAAAATAAACATAAAAGTGCAGTATGCATGCTTAAAAATCATAAAAGATCAGTTTGTATTACTTCTCGAGTACCTTGAAGAGGTACTTACCACAGTTTTCGTCTGAATTGTCATAACAATCGTTATATCCATCGCAACGTCTGCGACTGTCTATGCAATTGCCATTGGCACATCTGAATTCATACTCGCTACATTGTGTTGGTGGTATGTATGGTCGATAGGTGGTTGTGGGTTCTATACCAAAATAAAAATATTCAACATAAAATCAACCACATAAGTTTTTTAATCGCCTTAAGAAGGTTGGGTAGTTACGTGAAATCAGTAAAAATAGTATTTATAAAATACACAATTGTTTAAAAACTTAAAATAAATTAAATATTGCTCTAAATGATAAAAATCAAAATAAAAAGGTTCCATTAAAAAAATTAGGACCTTAAAAAACATGTAAAAATATATATGAAATATTTAAAACTGTTATTTTGTCGCATCTCACATTTGCTTCCCAAAATAATTACTCAACCTTTATTAAGCCAGAAACCCCTACAAGTTGCATACCCATCTTTATTAATTTGTTAGTAAAAATCCTATTTACTTATTTGAATTGTTAATAACGTTAGTTCTTACAGAGTGATCCATTATAGGTGAAATAAAAAAAATAAAAGAATATGATCACTCTGTATCAGTTTAAGTACCTTTAAAAGGTGCTTACCACAATTTAATTCGTCTGAATTGTCACGACAATCGTCATATAAATCACAACGTCTGCGATTGTCTATGCAATTGCCATTGGCACACCTGAATTCATATTCGCTACATTGTGTTGGTGGTATGTATGGTCGATAGGTGGTTGTGGGTTCTATACCAAAATAAAAATATGCAACATAAAATTAACCACATAAAGTATTTTTAATTGCCTTAAGGAGGTTGGGTAGTTACGTCAAATTTTTAAAAATATTATTTCTGAAATACACAGTTTTTTGAAAACTTAAATGAATTACTGCTCAAATGATAAAAATTAAACTAAAAACGTCCCATTATTTAACAAATTAGGACCTTGAAAAACATGTAAAAAGATATTTAAAATATGCAAAACTGCTTCCCAAAATTAACTTCTTAACCTCTTTATAAAGCATTTAACCCATCTTTATGAGGTGCCGTTTGTCCGTAAATTATTTTTGCTATATGAGACATTCTTTTACAAATCGTACACCTATTTTGACATCAGGGTTTGGATTCGCATGAAAATTTTTTTACCGCTTCTATTCAGTAAATAAGCAGATACGTGTATCAGGTTTTCTGTAAAAAAATTGTTTTTTCAGAGATATGTTGATATAAAGTTTTTATGAATTGCGATAAAACGATAAATTCTCTTCTACATAAAACCCATTATCTCCGGTTCTACTGATCGGATCGATTTTGTTTTTTTTTGTTTTAAACCTTATTGAATAGGCTTTTCAAATAAATAAATTAAATTTTTTTTTTTAATTATAGGGAGTTAATAACAGATTAATTTTTTAAACTAGTTTTTCATGTTTGCCCCCTCTATAAAATAAAATGAAAAAAATACTATTTTATGCGCTTTTTCTTTATCTACAAAATACATTTTTCAGAACAGTGGAGACTCTTTTGGATCGGAAGATATTAAACATTTTCGAGCGCGTGACAGGACTGTCAAGCGCGTAATATTCAAACGTATTAGTGCATGTGGCGGGTGACGTGATATTTTGTATAAGAGTGCCATGATTCGACATCTTTTAATTGGTGACTTATTTGTGCAAATGTCAATTCTGCCAGTTAATAAATTTACTCATTAATTGGAGTTTTTTAATTTATTTAAAATTATTGAAAACCTTTAAAATCAGAATTAATTTACAAAAAGCGCTGGTATTTTTTTAAAACGATGTATGAGTTTACACTATCCTAAATAGTGATGCCGCGAGACGAGACGAGACGAGAAAAGTCCTTCTCTCGTCTCGTCTCGTGCAGCGAGAGAAAATGGGTCTCTCGTCTCGTCGAGAATACTCTTTTCTCGCTCGAGAGTGCCTTTCTCTCGTCTCGTCTCGTTTCTCTCGTGGTAAAAGTACCTATGTATGAATACAAAAATTATTTGCAATTAAATACGAATTCGTTTATATTTTTTCTATATAAATTTAAACTGGAAATAAAAAAAAATTGTGCCAAGACCACACTGATAAAGTAAGACTTTTTACGCCGAAAATGTCGCACATTATTTGTCCCATTTTTTTTCTCGGTGTAGTATATAGGCGCAGTAGTTTTCAGATGGATGGATCAAATCATCCATCCATCTGAAAACTACTGCGTCTATATGATGTAACTACTCCACATAGATCCAACCATCTTGTACCTACTGCGCATGTCCGTCATTTTGAATCCGCAATTTTGTTTTTTGAATGGATATCAAATTCTTAATCAGGGACCCCATACATATCTAAATACTAAATTTTACCCAAACCATTAAAGCCGAACGACAAATTTTCGACATATTGGATCAGCCATTTTATTTTTTGAAGAAATGGATATCAAATTTGTAATCAGCCCCTCAAAAACCACATGTTGTTGATAAGTTCATTGAATAAGCAATGCTTATTAAGCACGGGTTGTTTAATAGTATAAGGAGTGTCATAAATGTGCTTATACAGGGTAAATTTTAAAATTTTATAAGTAATTTTTTTCTTGGTTAACCTTAAGTTGTGTTATAAAATAATAAAACGTTATACAGGAACAAATTTTGTTTATTATGAAATGCGAATAATGTTCTCATTGCATTGCATTGGTCCAAATAAATATCGCAAAATTAAAATTTTTATGTAAAAAAATTGTTTACTTATTACCGGAATAATCGAGAGAACGAGAGAGATCGAGAGAAACGAGAAATTCTCGAGCGAGAGAGGGCTTTCTCTCGTCTCGTCTCGAGCCTTTTTTCGAGAGAAAATCTTCCTCTCGTCTCGTCGAGACGAGACGAGACGAGAGGCGAGAATCTCTCGTATCGGCGGCATCACTAATCCTAAATGTGTTAGCGTTTCGAAGATGTCTGATTAGGGGGTGTCCATTAATTACGTGAGTCAATTTTAGCGATTTTTTGACCCCCTCCCCTCTTGCTGAGATTTGGCTCAACCCCCTCCCCCTAATCTCACGTGAGATTTTAAAAAATGCTTATTTTTAATGTTTATACGTTCAACTGCTTGATTCTGTTGGATTTATTAAAAAAACATACTTTGTTAAAAATTACGTGATATTTGCCGAGACCCCCCCCCTCTCCCTTACGTGAGAATTGATGAGATTTGGCTTGACCCCCTCCCTCCCCTAAACGCCTCACGTAATTAATGGATGCCCCCTTACGGCTTGTACCGGTCACGCGCTCGAAAATATTTAATATCTTCCGATCCAAGAAAGTCTCCATTTTTCTGAAAAATTCATTATGTAGAGTAATAAATAGTGCATAGAACAGTATTTTTTTAATTTTTTTTCATAGAGGGGGCAAACACAAAAAATCTGTTTATACAAAAAAAAAAATATTTTTTTCATATAATAAACAAAACACAAACTTTTTAAATATTTATCGAAAAAGACTATGTAATATGGTTTAAAATAAAAAAAAAATTAAATCGATCCGATCAGTAGAACCGGAGATAATGAATTTTAAGTACAAAAGAATTCAGCATTTTTTCAAATTTTATCAAAAGTTTAAATCAATATATCTTTGGAAAAATAAATTTTCTGCAAAAATTCCGATATAGGGGTCGGCTAAATTTATGAAAAGATGCTGTAAAAAAAAATTAAGTCATTTTAAAAATTTGAAAAAATATGTTTTCTGTAATCCGTACGATATGTAAAAGAATGTCTCATATATAAGAATATTTTTTATATATAAACTTTAAATTTCCTATATATATACTTTTATATATATACTTTTTAGTTCAGATAATGCCGCTTGAGAATGAGGGCGCTTTGTGGTATTCAACTAAAAAGCACTGTTGCCGGAATGTGCCAATGCAAAGTTTTGGTCAGTGTTTCCAACATAACGGATCTTCGGCCAGATCTAGCGGAACAAAATGATAGCAAAAAGTATAGGATTTTAGTTTTTTTAAATACTTATACGAGTAGGTAATATATTGGTCGGTTGGTCTATTTTTATTGAAGAAAACATTTCTCTTCTTTGGCCGTCTCTATTCCTCTAAATAAACACGGCTTTGTTTTTACTAATAGGTATTTAAAAAAACTAAAATTTCTTACGTTTTGCTTCTCTTGTCAATTTATAAAAAAACAAACAATTTTTTTTTTAAACTTGGACTCTCATAAATTAAATTATATAGGTACAAATCTTATGACAAATACCATTCGATATTATGTTCAAGTTTCCGTTAAAAAATCCGTCAGCTGTAAGAGTATCTTTTTTCCCTCGACCTTTATTAAAATCTGCCAGATCTGGCGAAACGATATGTTGAAAAAACTGACCAAAATTTTGCATTGGTACACTCTGGCAACAGTGCTTTTTAGTTGATTCCACAAAGCGCCCTCATTCTCAAGCGGCATTATCTGAACTAAAAAGTTTCTATATATATGGGAAATTTAAAGTATATATAAAATATATTCTTATATATAGCAAAAATAATTTACGGACAAACGGCGCCTCATACATCTTTATTAATTTGTTAGTAAAAAGTTTATTTGCTTTTTTGAATTGTAAATAATGTTAGTTTACACAGAGTGATCTATTGTAGCTAAAATAAGAAAAAATACAAGAATATGATCATTCTGCATCAGTTTAAGTACCTTTAAGAGGTACTTACCACAATTTGATTCGTCTGAATTGTCACGACAATCGTCATATCCATCACAACGTCTGCGACTGTCTATGCAATTGCCATTGGCACATCTGAATTCATGTTCGCTACATGGTGCTGGTGGTATGTATGGTCGATAGGTAGTTGTGAGTACTATACCAAAATAAAAAAATAAAATCAACCACATAAATTTTTTTAAATTCCCTTAAGGAGGTTGGGTAGTTACGTCAAATCATTAAAAATAGTATTTCTGAAATGCACAATTTTTTTAAAACTTAACTACTCAACCTCTTTATTCAGCATTAAACCCATAAAATTTGCAAACCCTTTTTTATTAATTTGTTAGTAAAAAGCTTATTTGCTTAATTGTTAAAAACTTTAGTTTATACAGTGATCTGTAGGTAAAATTAAAAAAAATTCAAGATCACTGTGCTTCATTTTAAGTACCTTTAAAAGGTTCTTACCACAATTTGATTCGTCTGAGTTGTCACGACAATCGTCATATCCATCACAACGCCTGCGATCGTCTATGCAATTGCCATTGGCACATCTATATTCATACTCGCCACATTGTTGTGGTGGTATGTATGATGGATATGTGGTTGGAGGTTCTATACCAAAACAAAATTATGTAAAAAAATCCCCATTTCTTTTTACCACAACTCTCATAAAGTGTTATTGATAGGATGATGAAATTTGGCTCAAAATTTGTAAAAGTTAACTATATAACTTGATGGTTTAATAAGTATAATAAGATTGCCTTTTTATTCTTAATTTGTTAGTATAGTAAATATGGTGATTTACTGCTCAGGTTAAATGATTTCATACAAATTGATCTTGTTAAAACTAAAATAAAAAATGAAGGTAACAGGATAAATAAATAAAAAATAACCAAAAACGTGCATATTAAAATAAAATACATAATACGTATAATATCAAAATCTAGGGTACTTATACGCTATTTAAATTCAAATTTCAAAACAATTTCCTAGACTATCTGCAAAATACGATTTTTCTACCGTTACACATAGATGGGAAAAAATCATGTCAACCACATAAACCTAAGAAGACCTTTTGCAAAACGTTAATTTTGAAAAATCCATCTCAGAATGTCCATTCGACGGAAATCATCTTATGCAGAATGAGCTAGTTCTTGCCTAAAATGGATTCCAACAAAATTAACCGTTTTCGGTCCATTCAAAAAAATCCTACGCATATAGATTCATAAAAATACATTGTCAAAATATAAGTACGAATAAATCGAACCGATGTAGTAGTCAAAATCATCGGAGGTTGGCGATGAGGTGAGCAGGCAATTTTGCTCGTCAGAAAAATCTCTGCAGTCGTAGAAATTGTCGCAGCGCAATTGCGAAGCCACGCATGCGCCGTCGCTGCACTTGAACCAGTCCGGATCTGCGCAAACGTCTGCCCAAAAGCCCAATTTTAGAGATTTTAGCGCATAATTTATATGATTCTGGTTTAAATCTTTCCAATGCAATTAATGCCCAATATGTTATATTCAGGTAGGTTTTAGGGTATGATTTGTAAGTATTATTTAGTAAATTAATGTACAGGTTGTATAATTTTAAGCGCCTAGAAAACAAATTGCCGTATAACTTCATTCTAATGATTTTTGTTTGTTATGCTGATTTTTTTTAATTTAGAGTCTAAATTTTAGACCATTGGTTTGTTGTTTCGATCAAAAGTAATAAATAGTAAAAATTTTATTATTTTATTTTATTTTATGTACCCATATTGCATAATATTGTGTTTTACTGTATACACATTTTAAATTTCCTGCCAAAAAATATAAATAATGAACTTAAAATTGGTAAAAAGTTAGTTGAACCATTTGGCAGATGTCAGATTTTATTTATTTAACTTTAAATAGTTATTTTCCTAACAAGTGCGCAAAGTTATTTTTTTTCGCACGCTACTGCAATTGCAGTAAATTGCAAGCAGTAAGTGCGGAAAAATTACTTTGCGCATGTGTTAGGAACAATACTTTTTCCACTAGCGTGCGCAAAGTTGGATAACAATGAATATTAAATGTTTATTACAAAGGAACAATTATTAATATTTTCTAAATTAATTGTAGAACAGGTTAATTCATTCAACGGGTGACTTGTTGTACTATTAAATAGTTTGGCTTAACTCAGAAGAGCTGTTTTTTATGTCCAATATTTTATTTGGCGACAGCCATTGATTTCCAGCATCCAAGTCGCATAACATTGGAAATTCCTTCCCCAGAATCGGGAATATAGTAGCGGAGGATCTACGAAAACTATGACCTGTGTACTCTAACTAACTAAATTTGATTTTGTCTAAAATCAACATACTTTTTAATGGAAATGCGCGTGGAAAAGTGCAACATTGCGCAAGCAAATGGGTGCGGAAAAGTGTTACTTTGCGCACGCTAGTAAAATCATTTAATTGATTTTTTTTTTGAGTAGATAACGTATAGTATTACACTCGAGATTATGCGCATTATTCACTCAGATAATTTGACTCTCACACCTCATCCTTGGGCATTATCTCTCGTATAATAATATACTATTATAATAATATTATTGCACATTAGCAATTTTGCTGGTCAACTCCATCTTGACAAATTTTACTCTAAGAAACACATTTATGATGGACGGTCATATTTGAGTCAAAAGTCTTTAGAACCCAATATTACTTAAGAACTACAATCCCAAGTTAGAAGCTACAAAAAACTTCACACTTTAACAGTTAACAGTTTTTGTATAAAATTCTTACTAAGCGTTAGTCTTAAAAAAGCATTAATTGTATGTTCATTGAACATACCTATTTGTATAGTATGTAGTACGTTAAATGATTTTAGAGAAAGCAACGATACCATTAATAAATTTTTAATTTTAACCTAACTTACCAGGGCAGTTTCCTTCATCCCTTCCATCGGAACAATCATTACGTCCATCGCATTTTTTGTCCATTGAAATACATGTTCCATCACCACAAGATAGTTCGTTTGATGGGCACTCTACCAAAAATTAATAAACCGATTATTAAAAAGTATTATTAAACCAAAATATGTTTTTTACCGCAATCTAGTTCGTCTTCTCCATTCAAGCAATCATATATGTGGTCACAGTGCTTTCTAGCATCAATGCAGGTATCGTTTCCACATGAAAATTCATGGGGTTGACAGGCTAAACAGAAAAAATGTATTAAGATTTTATTAAATATTAACTAGATACTGAGTAAAAAGTAAATAGAAGAAGCAGTATATTTATATATATTTAATCTAACTAAAATTTAGATGCATCATGCATAATATGTATTGATAAAATTGATGAACAATAGAATATTATAGACGGTATTATTGGGGTTAATATAAAATACTCTTAAAAATACTTTAGTAGTATTACTTCAAATGCCAACAAAGAAATTTGGAATAAAAGGAAAAACATATTTCCAAAACAGGACAAAACCTATAACGCCTTGGAAATACATTGTGACCCTTTTAAAATCCCTAATAACTTTGCTGACAAATGTATAATGTAGGAGACTCAAACCACTCAGAAACTCAAAAAAATATGAACCTATATGAGGCGGATTGGTTGGGCAGCTGTACTCATCAGATCCATCAATGCAGTCTACTCGACCGTCACAAACACGTTCCCTTTGAAGGCAAGTACCATCGCAACTGAACTGGTCACCAGGACATGCGACTGAGAATCAAAAACGACAAAAATATCAGTTTTAAAACGTCACAAACACGTATGGACTTGCACAAAACAAACTCTGTTTGAGTTCAGGAAAAGTCTATCTGATTGATTACAGATGTGGGAGAAAAGATGTCCCAACAAACAATTTTGAAAGTTGTTGAAACGTCTCAGGATGGTTAACTGAAGAAGGATGAGGATGGGAGAGAAGATGATGATTAGGATAAGAAAGAGGACTGTAACTTCTATGAAAGACTGGGGCCAAAACTCAAGCAAAAGTAAAACATACCGCAGTTAAACTCATCAGACCCATCTGGGCAATCTGGTCTATGGTTACAGTGTAGAGTTTCATTAACGCAATTTCTGCCGTCAGCGCATCTAAATGAATATTCCGTACAGGGACAGTTTTGTTCATCTGATCCGTCATCACAATCGTATCGGCCATCGCAAGGCCTACCTTGCACGCAGAAGCCGTTTAGGCATTTAAACTCGTTGTTTTGGCAGTCTAAAATGTGATGTTCTTTTGTGATTATGTGGGTTAGTTTAGAGAAAAATACAAAGTGTTAATATCACTTTGTATAAAAGCGTTTTGGGTAGCGTATGTATAATATTGTAGTTTTTTAATATAGATTAGGTCAAACCATTCTTAAAGAAACCCATATTAAATATAGTGGAAGTTGTAAGCAAACTCTCATTGGTATGTAAGCCAAAATAAATAAGGTCTTTTAGTAAGAAGTTCATGGAAGTTCTGTTATGATTTTTCTTGATATACGAACCATAATCACCATTATCACCATCTACATCTTCACATACATCATCACTTTCATCAGAATGATCATCGCAATCGAAATTTACATCGCATATTTTTTCGAGAGGCAAACACGTAGTGGTTCCATTAACTTTGCATTTATGTTGCTCCTCCTTGCAATTCAATTCTGGCTCTGATATTAAAAAAACGTTGTGTATTTTTGTTTGTGTTTAAAATGCATTATATTAGTTTTTTCACAAATAACCTTATTTCATCCTATAGAGATAAAACAAAGCTACACACGAAAAAACTCTTGTTATTGTTAGGTCGAAAAATGAAGCTGCAGTTAGTACTAGTAGAGTAGTAGAGTAGTCATAGAACACCCTGTGTGTATGTCGGGTGGAAAATTAGCCCAACTAAGGTTTGATCTTAATCAATTTAACTATAGACTTCGATTTGGTATTAGGATACAAGATCAGTATTAGGATACAAGCCTCAATTAATTTAAACCAAACTACGCTAATTGCTGGTCTAAATCTTTATATTTAAATTTTATTTTAAATATATACTCCGTTGTTGATAAGTTCTTAATATGCTTTTTTGATGTTTGGAAACGTTTTGGAAATATATAATTACGAGAATTTATAAAGGTTTTTACTGTTCTTTAAGTTTTTTAAGTGTTAAATTTGAAGGTTTTTTTGGACTTTTTGACAATATAAGTTAATGTAAAATATAAAACGTAAACAAATACGGTAAAATAAAGGTACAAATAAGAACATCGGGAATGGTTTAATGCGTTATTTTTACTTCATAATAACGTTTTGGAAATATATAATTACGAGAATTTATAAAGGTTTTTACTGGTCTTTAAGTTTTTTAAGTGTTAAATTTGAAGGTTTTTTTGGACTTTTTGACAATATAAGTTAATGTAAAATATAAAACGTAAACAAATACGGTAAAATAAAGGTACAAATAAGAACATCGGGAATGGTTTAATGCGTTATTTTTACTTCATAATAACTATTAAAGCGACCAAAAGAATAACGAATTAAAAACAAATTAAATACATACATATTTACGTAAAAATCACGTTAAAATTACTAAACATTTATATTTTCTTTGTCTCTTTAAGTTATATTTCAAAATGATATACCTTAGGAAGTTAATAAAGTTTACCATAAAGTAAATTAATAAGTGTGATAAAACTAATAAATTTAGCATTAAAACTTTTTATATTGATAAAAACAGCTATGAAACCTCATACAAAATCGATGCCCCTTAAATATCCTAGTGTTAAAAATAAACATATGACTTATGTATAATATAAATAATTTTACTTTAAATGCTGCTTGAATACAATTGTATTTATTTTGCAAATTATTCGAATTAATTAGAGCTTAAGCTGAAGTTGGCTTTATTATAAATTGAGAAAAAGTGAGGTTAAATTCGGTTGACAGTTGACACATGTCAAATATTAAACAAACAAAATTGAATTTAAATGCTGTTTTGTGTTCGTCGCTTGTGCTTAATTAAACTCGTAACTAAAATGGCGTTTATAAAACTTGATACATAATATACTAATTTACATTTATATTTCATTTATTCATTTTTGAAATTAATTATTCCATTTATTTTAATTAATTTATTGTTATTTATTTAATTTAACCTCTCTTTTATTTCCCATGATTCCTCTAATTTTAATGAATTTAACGATTTTGTATACAATAAGATTCTATAACCTTGTTTTACAGGATTTTAGAAAATTTGTTAATTTTTTTTTATTAAATTAAACTATTATTGTACTATCGGTTTTTCAATAAATTTGTATTTTTCTTTCGATTTCTTAAATTATATATTTGTGATTTATTTTAAGTGTTTTTTGAATATAGGGTGTGCAAAAATGGAGTTTTATGTATTAAAATGTTAAAATTGAATTTGTTTAAGTAATAAGTGTTAAAATTGTTTTTATTTTAAACAATATATTTCTTTTATGTATAAAATCTACGCATGACGGTTCAACAATAAAAACTCAAAATTATGTTGGTTTAGATTTTTCCACAACAACCGTAACAACGATAACAATGTTGCCAAGTTTTTTTTAACTTAAATACTGGCAAACTACTGGTCAATTTTTTTTTCTACTCCCACCTTTAAAACGCCCTTTATCGTACATGTTTCCATGACACTAAGTGACCTTTTAAATACACATTGACAAGTTGTGGCTTTATGGCGCTTTAGTCACGGGCTAAAGTTAGCAACAGTTTTTAGTCACGGGCTGAAGTTAGTTTTAAGTTAGTTGACAGTTGTTAAATGTCATACAATCGTTAAAATACAGTGCCTTTTTGAAAATAATTTTATTATATCAATACAAAAATACAAAATTATTAAATAGTTTCTCAACGCCAATATTTGAAAAGTTTATATGAACATTGTACTGACCTTTTAATTTTGCCGGCAGTAAACTATAACTTAAATTCGGGCACGGACTCCACTGTAAAGTGCTCATGAAACATTTTCTTTACTTTCACTGTGAAAAACTGTCAATTTTCAAGAAATACAATTCGATTTATAACCTTTATAATCTGTGTTTATAAAATTTAAAAATGTGACATTTGACGGTGACACACAGATTCCCCTATTGTTTCATAGATGGCGCTCTATACAAATTTTTGATTTAAATCATTTTAAGATGATAATAAGTATTTGTCGTAGAAAAAGTATATTATGCACCTCGTTTATAAACTTTTCTATACACTCATTAATTTAAGCACTCGCTCGCAAGCTCGCTCGTTCATCATAACATTTCATGCTAAAAAACTAAAACTTATCATTCCAAAATCTTCCAAAAACAATTTCATTTAGCACTTAAAAAACTTGTGAACCAAAACTATTTTAATTTGATTTAGATTTAATTAAAAACCTACCGACTGTAGGAGGAAGAGCAGTAAAGGGACAATTATCCTCATCGTCCCCATTGGGACAGTCGTAATAACCGTTACACTGCTTGTAACCCGAAATGCAAAAACCTCCTTGGCATTGAAACTCGTCTTCAGGACAACGACCTAACACAATCAAAATTTTGAAAAAAAAATTTTTTGTAAAGAAAACCCATGCTATCAGTAGGTGCAAACTGCATACCCTGTATATCATAGTACCTTCATTCCGTGAATTAGTACTTCTTCAAAATGCTTAATTATTTACATTTTTCGTTTTTGTTGTTGTGTAGACATAACAAATTTTGTGTGTTTTTCATGCCATGCTATAATTTGTAATAGGGTACCTAAATCTTTTTAAATCCGCTATTTTACTAATCTATTATTTGATTATGTTTTTTGTATGGTACTTACCACAACTTATGGGATAAGATATAGGGATACAGTACACGTTCCAGGTACAAGTACATATCCCATTGCAATAATAACTATGGCAACTTGGCGTTAGATAACCTAATAAATATTTTCGAGAAATAAATAATAAATCATTTTATTTACTAAGCACAAGTATATCGACTGAAATTTATAATTTTCTCCGAATAAAAGGCAATGCTGCATGAAATTTTGTGTGCCAATTTTTTATACTGTGTCGAATATTTGCACCAAAAAAAGGTTAAGGACGTCACATGTTACCTAGACGAAGTTATTGCCTCTATGAGGTCGCACTAAGATTGGTTAGAACTATGCTATCATCTAAACGATTAACATTTTAATTTGTTAAAAACTTACGACACTTTCTGCTAAATTGATGTAAATAAGATATGCCGGAAAAAGTACAGGGAAATTTCCAAAAATCCAGAAAAAATAAAATAGTCAAAAATCTACCATTTAAATTAAAATAGTCGTTATTTTTTACTACTTAAATAAACTGCGCACCACTCAATGTGTCGCGACCAAAAAGTTCGTTCTTTTTCAAAACAACATAACTTTTTTGTTTCTTGAACGATTTTATTTTGGTCTGTGATGTCTCCTAGCCCCATCCTCTGTCAATTCTTGATATAGATATGAAGCTCTAGGTTCTTCAAGTAAATTTTCTACAGGGTGATATGTTAAACGGTGAAAAATTTCAATAACTTCATCCAAGCCCCGTTTGTAAAAAAATAATTTTTTTCTCGTTTTTACTTTGAAATAATTAAGTATTATGTCTTACCTTGAAACGTTTTTCAAATTTTTTGAATTGGAATCTTAGCAACGAAAATATGATTTTTTTTTCCAAAAGTACATTTAAGGGTTTTTGTAGACAATACACTCAGTCTTTTTAGGAACAAGAAGATAAGATGGTGAAAGATTGTTCCTTAAATAATTCTGAACAAGCGATATGCAACAAACTTCCATTATTTTCAGAGGGCCTAAGCAAAAACCACTTTTTCAAAATAACATTTTGGTGAAAATTTGCGAAAACTAAATCTAAACCGATATTTACGTTAGTGACATGTTTTCTTCATAATATTGACCTCCTGATTATGATTCAGTTGTCAAATTTAAGTTTGAGATAAAACCAAAATCACCAAGAATCAAGATTCGAAAACAATTCCCCTTACACCGAAAAAAATATATTCGTTGAGTTAACATTTGCCTAAATGTCATTTTTGAAAATGTTGTTTCAACAAAAAACCTATTGGATTAATCTATATTTTGGTGTCAAAGCAATAGTCAGAGTTTGTCAAAGTTTATTTGTTCATTTGACAATTTAAAATATTGATCTTACATGAACTAATTGTTTGAATTAAAGTTTTTATCCTATTTTGATTTAATAGCTGGAATTGGTTAAATCAAATACTAAAATTGTTGGGATTACCTAAAAAAACTATTAGATTAACGTTTAGTTGCTGTTTAATCCACAACATTAAATTTGTTCATTTAACAAATTGTAAATGTTATTTTAAAATTTAAAATGTTAAATTTGCATTCATAAAGTTGCCTTAACACTCTAAGAATGTTAAATTAACAAAATTAGCAGATTGGAACAAATATCCTAATTTTGTTCATTTGACTGTTATTTGTTGTTCAATTAAACAATACAATTTGACATTTTTAGATGGTTAAGTAAACGTGCAAAAACCATTGCTTGTATTTAAAGTGCATAAAGAGTTGAATTAATATTTTTTTTGTTGTTTCAACAGCTTATTTTTTTCAGTGTAGGCCCTTCTGAAAATAATGGAAGTTTGTTGCTTGTGGCTTATTCAGAATTATTTAAGGAACAATCGTTCACCATCTTATCTTCTTGTTCTTAAAAAGAGAGTGTCTACAAAAAGCCTTAAATGTCCTCTTTTGGAAAAAAAATCATATTTTCTTTGCTAAGATTCCAATACGAAAAATTTGAAAACATTTTCAAGGTAAGACATAATACTTCATTATATCAAAGTAAAAACGAGAAAAAAATATTTTTTTTACAAACGGGGCTTGAAATTTTTGACGGTTTTACATAGGTATCACCCTGTACGAAATTTACTTGAAGAACCGTGAGCTTCATATCTATAGCATGAATTGCCAGAGGATGGGGCTAGCAGACATCACAGACCAAAATAAAATCGTTCAAGAAACAAAAAAGTTATGTCATTTTGAACTTTTTGGTTGCGACACATTGAGTGGTGCGCAGTTTAGTTAAAATTTAACTAATTTAAGATTAGTCACTATCTTTGACTGTTTCTGAGTAAAAATAAATACAAGAAGCAATGGCGCAGCGATTAGACATCCGCTTGACAAGTGTTTCAGACCTGAGTTCAAATCCCGGCTGGCTCAAAACTTTTTTTAATTTAAATCCACTAATTTGTCTATTTAATTTGGTAGAATTTGACTAATAATAATAATAATTTGACTAATAATTATTATTGACTGCTTTGTCGCTATGACAATTAGTCATACTTTCAAGAAACAACAGGACCAATTTTAAACTGAATTTTGGGCATTCCTGTAAACAGAACAATAGACAAAAGCATAGAGAGAAGAAATATAAAAACACCCTGAAGAATACAAGAGAAGATATCAAAGTAAACTAACCAAAAGGTGTTGGACAGTTTTCTTCATCTTCGCTATTGTTACAATCGCCTCTAGAATCGCATCGTCTGCTCAAGTTAATGCATGTTCCGTTGTGACAGCGGAATTCGGTCCGGTCGTTACACGTAATGCACCCGATTTCGTCCGAACGGTCAGGGCAGTCGGGTCGTTGGTTACAGCGGAAGATTTGGTCTATGCAGTTGCCGTCCTGGCATTTCCATTCGTGGGGCGCACATCTTTTCGTCGCTACGAATTTTTTTATTTGGTACGATTTTTGGTTTTGGATATGTTATTGAAGGGCCCTCAATCTAGGTTTTTAGTCAGCATTGCAATTTTTTTTTATTAAAAACCTTTTATTTAAATTTCAGTCAACCTACTTAAAAATTCGGACTACATTTTGAAAGCTGACATTTAAGGCATCCAAAGCTAAGTGTATTTTTGTATTTTATCCAAATTTTAGAAAAATAAGCAAACGAGATTACACCTGGTACATATTACAATAACAATATGATATATGAAAAATAGTTGAGAGCCCCTTCTGATTTTATATATTTTATGTTTCAAAATATTGTTGGTAAATATCTATAGTTTTTTCGGTTTCAATGTATTAAAAACTATTATTGAAGCAATTGCTTAATTTGCTACTTTAATTCTTTTAATATTATATAATTTAAAAATAATTTTTAAACCACTTTTTAAAATTATTAACTTAAAACATGTATCTGGTAAAGTTTAAAAAATGGCGAAGGCGCCGGTATTAATGTCGAATTTTAACTAATTTTTAAAATTCGTACTTTTTTAAACTTTAATAATGTTTTGGACATGTTAAGTGAAATTAAATATATATGTAAACATAACTTCAAACTATTCAAAATACAAGTAACAACTTTGAAAATACATTTTAAATTGTTTGTTTTTTAATGTAATTTAGAAAAATTGCGTTTTTAAAAATTCTTAAATATATATAGTTTGACATTCTAAAATATAAATTTGTCATTTGAAATCTGTTTTGGATATCTGAATTATATTTTAACATTGAAAATTGTGTTTTGACATTTTTATGTTTTTTGACATAACTCATTTTAGAATGTGTTTTAGAAATACTTAAACATAGTTTGACGTTCTAAATTTTTATATTCATAAACCCGCACAGCAATCCTAGCAAACCTTGGTGGAGACACAGCTTGAAATACTTTAATCTTAAAAATACGCAAAAAAATAAAAATGGTCTTTTTAAGAAGTTATTTTTGACAAAACTATAAGGTTATAGATAAATTTTTAATATTAAAAAATATAAACTAGGTCATAATTTGCAGCTTACAAATGTGATTTAAAATCATGTTTATTTTATAAAATTGGTTTATATTTGTAGGAGATTTTAAAGTTCTGTATCGCTCACTCAAATTAATAAATATTGAAGTACAGTACATCAGTGGCGGCTGGTGGATTTTATTTATACCAATATCTTAGTTATTAGACATGGGACCCACACCAAATTTATATGAGTTTATAATGACATTAAATAAATAAGTTTAGCGCAAACAGAATATAAATTGAATTTTGCGAAAAAAAGTTAGTTTTTCCTGGTGCATCACCCGCCTCCAGGCCCCCCTATTTAAGATTATTCAAATTAAAGTGGTGCAATTTATTATCTACTATAATTTATCGACAAATTAAAATTTTATTTAAAAAATCCAAATATTACAGGTTTTATAGCATTTTAAATATTTTTTTATTTTAATAAAATAAATAATAAAAATTTAAAATCGAATAAAATCTGTAATATTTGAATTTGAATTTGATTTTTATCTTATTTTGACTTGCTCAATCTTTTCCTAAATGTATGCCAGTAAGTTTAGGGACACCTAGTATATACGGTGAGGTAAAAAAATCTTAACATAGGGTTGCTGTGCGGGAATATAAATTTAAATCCTCTTATGTATTTTAGAAATCTTCAATATCATTTAAAATTTAAAATTGTATTTTTAATATTTTTGTTTTAAACTAAAGTGCTTTTAAATTTTCAAAAAATATTTATTTTTTATTATTAATCCATCACCAACTTTAACTACTAAACCTTAACCAAAACCAAGTGAGTACCAACTGTATGTAATGAATAAAACTACACTGGACAACATTCTATAAATGGTTTTTGTAAAAAAAATTCAACTTAATTAGTCTTTTTTAACAATTTTCTCTGTTGCCCAGTGCAATTGACGTTAATAAGCATGTTTGGTTGCATACTTGCACAGCCAACTTCGTCTGACGCATCTTGACAGTCATGTGTTCCGTCGCATCTTTGATTTTGTGGTATACAGTGTCCGTTTTGACAGTGAAAATCACTGTTTAAACATTCTAAAAATCAAACGTATTTTTTAACAGAAGAAAAGAAGGAGAGAAGGTTGATTGAAACTTCACACTCATATGTGAGTTTTTGTTAGACGGTGAAAATGAGAAAGGTTTAGACACTTTTTTTGGTAGAAAGCTTGAAGTCACATTGATATTGCTTTGACAGATTTGCAGATATAGTAAGTGGCAGTCCAAGAAAATATATGTGAAATAGAATACAATAGAAAATGAAACTGTTTTTTATTCATTTGGGCCACCACCACTAATCCGCCATTTGCCACTGATGAAATAAGTATGGAGAAAGTCTAGATAGAAGAGGACACATCGAACTTTATTTACTTATATTGAAAAACTTGAAGGAACAAATAAGTATCTAAATTTTGTAATAAAAAACTTACTACAGTCTCGTTCGTCAGATTGGTCTAAGCACTCGTATACGCGATTGCACTGAAACGTTTTGGAAATGCATTTTCCATCCCCGCACCTGAACTGGTCGTGTCTACATTCGGATGCTGTGTTTAAAAAAACATGCAAACAAGCAAAATTAACTTAACTTAATTTCTCCACATTTTTACTCGACATTAGTCAACAAAGGTCCGCAAATTTTTTTTACAGGGTAGGCAACACAGATTACACATTGCACCAAATACGGTTTTGACATTATAAAATGTGTTTGGAAAAAATATATTTACGGTTTTCTTTGTTGACCATTGTTTTTCTTAATGTTAACACAAGCAAAAAATATCGACATGCCTATGCAAAGCTTTGCATGCTGATTGCCCATGCGTAGCGTTTATTTTCGTTGTCAAAATTAGCAACATCAACGAAAAAAACAAACATGAAAACAGGCATCTTACCTTGCGGACATGTTTGTTCATCTGAACCGTTTAGGCAGTCAAGGCGTCCATCGCATACCTGGGAATAGGGAATACATTTGTCTCTGTAGCCGCATTGGAAGTCGCTTGGGCTACATTGGGTTGCTGGAAGTAAATAAAAAATATAAATAAACTATAATTAATAGTATATTCTGTAACAAGTTTGGAATATGCAATTCCAAACGTGTTTCAGACTATACTAATTCTACGTTTCCAAAAAATACCATAGACAAATAATTTCTTGCTTTAATTTTTATCTATACAAGAGGACTTTAGAGGTCCTACTTATTTTCTCGGTACATAGGCCCAACATTTGACAAAATTCAAATTTGGAACATTTTATAACAATTAAAAATTATAAAATTCTTATAATATAAAAAAAAATTTAAAAATTAAAAACTAAAATAATGAATTCCAAAAATAAATTATTTTAGACCACCAGGCAATAACCCAACCGGTCATAAAATTTCCCACGAACGTTGTTCAGCATTAAAGGCGTAATTCTTAACACATTTAAACTATTAGCTTTTTGTGTCTGCGTATTAGCTGGATTTTATATACAAAAAAAAACATTACAAGACAGATCCGGTAACTTTTGATTTTTGAGGGTGCACCAAGTATCCTTCTATGGTCATTTTTTTATTTTAGGACCCACAAGGTTGGTTAAATTAATGAATTTGGAGAAATACAATTTAAAAATTCATTTGAAAAAAAAAACAAAAACCTTCCAAACCAAAAATCGTTATGGGAATTAGATTAATGCATTTTCATCCAATTTATTTGCTACTATGTTTAGAGTTGACATCACCATCTTTTATTTCTTTTTATGAGCGCCATGTAATTTAATACATCCTTGGATTCCTTGATTTTTTTTATCTAGTCATGTAAGATTTCAATATGGCGGTCATCGGAAAAACAAAAGTTGGTGATGGTATCTCAAAATACGGTATACCGCCTATAGGCAAAAAAATAAAAAAAATGGATGAAAATGTAGATAAATGTTTACTTTTGACATTTTTTTTCAAAAATCCCAGGAATAAATTTTTGGATTTGACAGGTTTTCAGTTTTTTTTAAATTATTTCAGAACCGCAGATTTTTTATCCAATGCATTGTAATTACGCAACTGTTGTCTATAAAGTATCAAGTTTAATAATAGCCATTTTAGTAACGAATTTAATTTAGGCACGAGCGAGCTTGCGAGCGAGTGATTAATTAAATGAGTGCCTAGAAAGTTGGTGATGGTATCTCAAAATACGGTATACCGCCTATAGGCAAAAAAATAAAAAAAATGGATGAAAATGTAGATAAATGTTTACTTTTGACATTTTTTTTCAAAAATCCCAGGAATAAATTTTTGGATTTGACAGGTTTTCAGTTTTTTTTAAATTATTTCAGAACCGCAGATTTTTTATCCAATGCCTTGTAATTACGCAAATGTTGTCTATAAAGTATCAAGTTTAAAAATAGCCATTTTAGTAACGAATTTAATTTAGGCACGAGCGAGCTTGCGAGCGAGTGATTAATTAAATGAGTGCCTAGAAAAGTTTATAAACGACATTGCATACTATACTTTTTTACGACAAATACTTAATATTATACAAAAAAAAAATGATTTAAATTAAATATTTGTACAAAGCGGCATCTATACGAAAATAATGTAACCATCCAAATAAACATTTTTGACGTAATTTTCACCATTAACATTTTCCGTTATTATATTAATTAAACTTCACAATTATTGATACTTTAAAACATTAAAATAATTGCACATAATTATTACAAAGTGTTAAAAAATTTTACACGGGAAATGTTAGAGGTAAAAAATTAACAGTTGTATTTATTGGAATTCCCGTTAAAATTTCTAAATTGGGAATCTACCGGCGTTAAAATGTGTGTAAATCACAATTTATCCCTTAAAAATAGACCAACAATCGATAAAGAAGCAGTTTTTCACAGTAAAAGAGAAGAGAATGTTTTATGGGCACTGTACCTATAGTATACTAGGGCGAAATCAAAAGGTTAGTACAAACGTTCATTTAATTTTTTCAAATATTGGCGTCAAGAGACTATTTAATACTTTTGTTTTTTTGTATTGAGATAATAAAATAATTTTCACATATAGTATTATTTAACAAGAAAGGCACTTTTTTAACGATTGTATGACATTTGAAAACTTCAGCCCGTGAATAAAGCGCCATAAATCCACTTGTCAATGTGTATTTAAAAGGTCACTTAGTGTCATGGTGATAATAAACGTTTTAAATTAAAAAAAAAATAAAAAATATAAATAAGTAAAAAAAAATAAAAATTTTACCCATACAGCCCTGTATATTTAATTATCACTGTACTGTTTAGCCCTATTGAGTTTTAATTGAAATTAATTTTAATAATAGATTTATTTAAATTGACTATTGGCATATCACATAATAATAACTTAATAATTATTATGAATAATTTTGGATTAAAGCATCAATTACGTTTAATAATTCGGCTATTTTCACGCCATACCGTAACATGCATTATGTATATTAAATTTGTCGGAAATACTTTAGGAAAATTGTACTAATAAATAGCTTGGAAGGTTGGTAGTCATGGGTATGGGTCCGTGCTTGGTACTAAAGCAAAATCATTCACGACAAACAAAAATTTTTTTATGCCATATTAATTAGTTTAGTTTTGATTTAATCCATTTTGTAATTTAAAGAATTGACATAATAACCAGGGACGATAATACATAAAACAGTTGGCCTAACAGTTGTATTGACGTGTTAAAGCAGTAAAATAAATTAAAAAAAGATTTATATTCTTGTGTAAATTTTGTCCTACAAAGTCTTCATTTTACACACGTACACGTTCATAACTACGTTAGAAAATACAGTCAAACTAAATTTCTAACAACAAAAATAAATGTCCGCAAAAACCGAATAAAATTCTCAGATATTTTTCACTCTTAAAAGCCGCTTAAGAATGTAGAACGCAGTGCAAAAACCTAATTGAACACCGGAAGTTATAAAAGACCATTTTTAAACGGTCTAATAAAAGTGGATTATTATGGAAGTTACAGGGTGGTCCAAGTTTTGGTCTCCAAAACGCCTGTTAAAAGTTTGTATTTTATTAAACAATTGTAAGGGCAAAACTAAATTATACAGTATGTCCACGTAAAATTTTCATTTTTCCACCAAAAGTCATTCTTCATAAAAAGTCCTGCTTGTCGAAAAACAAGAAAACATTACATGAACTATCAAGAGTAAACTACCTTTATTTTTCGTTTTGTAAAATTTCGTTTTAAAAAATATTTTTAAAACTATCGAACAAAATAAATAAAGATATAATATCGAATACCGAGTTAAAATTTTAAAATTAGTCTTTGGATCCATGGATAGGATTTTAAATCTTTTTTTATTTGTCACTTTGGTCCAAAACTAAAAATAAAGGTAGTTTACTCCTGATAGTATTTCATGTTTTATTCTTTTTCGACCCACCTGTATAATATTTTCAAATTTAAAGTATGGCAATAGACCTTTCAAAACAAGCAGAACTTTTTATGAAGAATGACTTTTGGTCGAAAAATAAAAATTTTACTCCATTTGTCCTGTTGGGTCCTCTATCCGTATACTAGTTTATAATTTTACCAGTGTATTGCAAAATTCAAGTTTTTCTTCGGTTAAAAACAACAAAATTAAGCCCTTCGTATTGTTAAATATGATTTAGTTAATTTTGAAAAACCGCGGTTTTAATTAACGTAAAAAAATAATTTTTACTTCACCTTAATCATTATCACAATTAAAAATCGTTTCGAGTTTCATCATTATTTAAAATTTCGCTGTATGATATTTGCCTTATTTTATTACGGTTATAATGAAAATTATTAGGATTAAAAAATCCATTCATTAATTATATCCTAAACGTAATAGGCACATGGTATATATTAATACATTAGAAACAAATGTGTTTTGCCCAAAATTTTAATCTTAAATTTTAGCCATTTTTAACCATTATTTATACTTAATTCATAAATAGCGATAGGTACCAACTTGTCATATTACATTTGATTTAAAAAAATGTTTAACTGATTTTATAATTATTTTTTGTTTTAATACAAAAGGCACTATAAACATATAAACACAGGAACGTGAATTAAAAATTCTTTGGAAATTAATAAACTAAAGAAAAAATCGGATATTGTTCTTAATTACCAAATTAAAACCAAAAACTCTCCTTTACAAAATTTATTTTAGAATGGTTAACATGTAGTTCTAAAAATATTATTTATTATTATTGTGAAATTTTATTAGATAGGACTTTCCAAATCCATAGTTTTTCCAACAGGTAATATTTTTAAACACCTGCATTAGCAAATATGAATACCACCACTTAATAAAAATTTGTACTTATTTTGAAGAAGCTTCCGTGTAGCAAAACAATTTTTAATGTTTACGAAACATAAATAAAATAGTGAAACTTTAAAACAGTGTTTTTTTATTCGTATATTAATTTATGTTAAAATAAATTATGGCAGCACTGGGAAATTATTACAATGAGAAATTAATGCAGTCAAAAATTATTGAAGTAACAAACTAATGCAGTAATAAATTATTGCAGTGAGAAATTATTTCAATGAGAAATTAATGCAGTG